TAATTTTTCTATTGTTGCTTTGTTAACTTCGCGCATTTATTCGCACATTGTTTACTTGTTCAGATGTTCTATTAGTTATAGGACTAAGTGATTTCAAATATGTATTTTTTACGACTAGAGTGTATCTAAAATGTTTTTGAGAAAATAAATTGTTTTAGAAGTAAATAGTTTCGCCATGTTTAGTTTATAAAGGCCTATTTTGGTACAAATCTTGAAGTGGGCCAACTGAAGTGGGAAGGGGCTCATATATCAAATTTGTCGTTAATCAAAAGATGACAGTGAATGGAGATAAATTACCTTAACATTGTTCGAATGAGTTTATATAGAAATTCGCTGATATCTCGACACAAAAACGTTCAAATAATGCAGGAAGCTTTTAGAGTATAAAAAATAGACATGATATAATGGTAAAGAGCCTATAAGTTCATATCATCATCATGGTCAAAACAATTATATTCATTTTGATCAAATTAGGCTGTAGTATTTATTGCCTGGGATAAAGATACGTATAGATGCTATATTATGATACAGTACGAACCTTCAACAGTTGGATGTGATATTACGAGTATACTATTATATTTTCTATACAACAATACTAACAGCATGTTATTGGTGTCCACCATTATCATGGGTTTTTTTACTTTTTCATTGCACATGATATATTTTATAGGTTCAAAAACTCAATAATTTTATTCAATGTGAGACTAGTACGGCAATCGCATATAAAACTTCTTATAAATCTACACGCACACAGCACGCTTAGCGTCAACAAAATTGAACTATACGTGAACATTACAATAGATACGTAAATGATTTCTTGCAATATTTCAAAAACTGAATACAGGTTAGCTACTAGTTTTGCAGTAACGTTTTGATATTGATTAAATTTAATACATTTTTCTAAACATTCCTCATAAAATGTAATACTACGAAAACATCATACATCAACTTTTGGTTGTTTTGTATTCAGGTTTCATATGATCTTGTCCATTAGTATAAAATCTATGAAAGTAGGAATATCACAGGGCATTGTTTTCTGTGAGAGGCCATATAAATGTCACAAGTATTATCTTGAAAACAATCTCAGTCGATTTAATTCAAGCTTTGTCGTCAAACGCAGGTTTTTCTTTAAATTTTTGTATCTCATCAGTGCAATGAACAATTTCTAGAGAAGTATCGTCAATATCGCCATCGCCACATAGTGAACAAATTTCTTTACATTTGTTATCCATCTGCTCTCTCTTCGTCGACCAAAATAAACAAATGGCTATCTTTATCTTGAAGACCTACTGGATATTATTTGTGAAGGTCTATTTGCTCATCTAACTGGTAGCGACAGTCATTTTCCAGTTGGTTTATCGTATATAGAGTTGAAATGACTTATGCTTATAGTTTATAGGCGAAGACCAACTGTCGTGAAATATTTGATGTATTTTTTCTTTATTCTGACATTACCTTGCGAGTATTTGTTGTGATTAATCTTGAGCTCAGTACCAATCTGTATAGTTTTCTTTATAGTTACCGAGTGGTTTTCCAAAAAAAAAAAACTACTTTTTGGCCATCCTGCATCTAGTACCCACACAGAACAAGGTACGGCGACACTCCCCCTTTTTCATATTGGAGAGACAACGTTAGCACATACGTAAACGTTAAAGTTGACATTTAAGTAGTAAAAACTCAATTAATTATAGCTTATACTTGACGTTCGCGTATACCATATATATGGTTTCAGAAACTACTTATTGTCTGCAGCTCAGGATTCATACAATTCTTCATTCAGATCATTGTCTACTGTTGGAGGGCTTGTCTTGTGCTGGTTTAGTACGGTTGCAAGGTTGATGAAGCAGATGAAACGTTAGTATCTCTCGTTCACCAAGAAACGTAGCTTTTCAGGGAGGAATATGCAATTGTCTGTAATACCCAGATTGAGAAATCCGAGTTACGCTATTGCCAATGCCTCCTAATCTGTTATTGGCGCCAGTAAACATCTTTATTTGCATTCCTCTAAGATTGCCGTACACTTAACACTTCATACAGATTTTGAGTACTCTGAAATTTTAGTGCTTTTTTATAGCACTCGGCTTATTGTGCCAAATTATACATCGAAACCTACTGACTGTGAAGCTTTAGCCATGAGTTACAGAATTATAAAATTAAACTACCATAGGTAGTCTTAGTAAATATATCATAATATCATAAATACGCTAGTTTGTCCTTTAATACAAAGAAGTTGCAGATCCGTATGATGCATTTTGATATTATGTTCATGATCTATGTAATCTGGCTGATCTTACACATAAAATTGATCGTTTTGTTTAATATATATTATTTTGTACATCCAGTATTGATTCCGATTTTATAAGGTTTTCTTTTCCTATACATCCAGTAGTCTGGAATACATGAAGACACAAAATATATGAGAAGGTTACCTCATTAGTCTGCATCATAACTTGTGCTTGATATGATCTGGAAAATTATTTGCGCTGAGCTTAACTAACAATACAGGTAACTGTAACTTTATTCCGTTATATGTTTTTTATGCATACTCGATACAAATTTTAATTAACGAGACGGTCAAATGCATCAAACTGCCTCTTGAAAAAAGTTCCAGTCACGTTTCTTCTGATATCAGGCCTTCTCTCGTTCGGATAGTTCGTTACTAAAATATCTCGGGAGTATTTTTAAAACATACGCTTTTGAAATATACAAAGTGAAAAGAATTTATTGCATGATTCCGACTGAAATTTCCATCATATCTTCAATATAATAAACCAACTTTTCCACTTGGCAAGTAAATTGTATACCTAATTCTGAAACTGATATTGTTCATTCAACAACTCTAACTGTTTTTCATGATTTTCTAATCATCAAATAAAACCATATCGACTTTTTTAAGACGTCAAATTGCTGCTCCAGGCTGGTACCGAAACGGCAGAGTGTAGCAAAACACATAGTACGCCACTTTTATGCGTAAAAAATAAATGGTATATCAGTTAATAACTGTCTTTGCAGATTTTATTAGATTTCTAACGATACACTTACATCATCCAAAATGACCAATTGCTTCTGCAGCTTTCCCAAACCGGGTGTCTCTCTAATGTAAATTGGTTGCCAAAAGACATCGTGAAAATTTAAAATCTATGAATTCAAAATATACAAAGAATCCGTAAGATTGAATCCCACCACCTAATATGTAAAATCATGAAACAAAGTATTTTTTTGATCGCTTCGTTGCATTAAAATCGATATGATATGACATTTATCGTCATTGTTTAACCCTCGGTTTAACCTTTACTTCCACGCAGCAGTAAATGGCAAAAAAATAAAATTTATGGAGAATACGTTAATCAATCGTTGCAGTGGCGAATCAAAAGTTTTTTGGCCAGATTAGTAGACAATTATACATATACGGTTTTCTATGTTCTCTCTCAGTAATTGATATTCTATGGTCGAATATAGCATTCTAAAAAATCGAATAATATATTCAAACGCCACCACTCCATCGTCAAATACATCCAAATTTACATCATTGCCTTAAATCCAGCTGTGTAACTTCTGGCAGGTGCCTTGCTTCATGATTTACATGTACAACACTACCGTAATTTTTTCAGTAAAGAAGTGTATTTTCACCTACTTAATTTGTTTATTCAGCGTTAAAAGCACCCAGAGAAAAAAAATTATATCAGTGCTAAAAATAAGTTATACGCCAGATGTCGTGTGTCGGGAGATGTTATATAATTCCAGCACGCTTGGTACACTAGCCTCGATATTGATGCTTTATCAGATATCTCTGTGCGAATGCAGTTGAATTTAATTGAATAGTTTTTAAACGTTTTAGCAGAACATTAATATAGAACGTGACCATATCATTAATTTAAAAATGCATGACTTATTAACGCCTCATAGTTTGTACACTCTATAATTATACGTAGTTAGTGTATTCTTGCACAAACGAGCTATAAATTTTACATTATGTTAGTTAGTTACAGCTCTGTGCTAGAGACATGGTACATACGCCTTTTACTCTTTTATCTCAAGGAAATTGGTGACGATATCTTATGTATCCTGAATTGTTAATATGCAGTCATTCGGAACGCCAAAGCGATCTCTATGGTTCAGCTGGAGAGAAGAATAAGTCTTAACATTATTACAGAAATCGTTACAGATCTACAAATATAAAAATGATTTACAAACAGATACACAGCCATTGTCTTTCCGAATAAAAGTTTGGTACTGTCCAAACAAACCAAGCACAGAATTTTCGAAGTACATTTTTTTGCTTCAAATCATTTGTACCAATTCCCCGAGCAGATTTCATTTATTATTCTATGTAGCCCATATTTTCTTTTTGTATAATCGCAAAGCAGCTTCATGGAATCATTGTTATTTTTCTATTAGCCGCATTCAGAACATTTCTCGAGTAGCAATATTTACTCTCGCTTAACAAGTGTCTAAACTATATACTCGTAAAATACACAAACTTCTGTCGTCGCCATCATCTTGTTTAAGCTTACACACCCACTTTACGACTTTCCAGAACTATTTACTTCATTAAAAATAGTTCAAACAAAATTCCCATCGCTTAAATTTTCGCTAAAAACAATCCGTTACATGTTATTCCCGTTTCGCGCTCGTGAGAATTTTCTAATGAAAGTGCACTACTAAAAATACACGCTATTTTATGCTTTAGCTACAATGTAAAAAATCGCATTCACACGGTCTGATGTTTTTTAGTGTTCCACATGTGGTGCGAATTTAGTTTGATCAGTATAGTGGAGTGAGTGCCCTTAGATTTATACCTCTGAACCCAGGGAAGCTGACAAGGAGTTTTAGTGAAATATGTTTAAAATATATAGGATGTCTCAGTATAACCTGACGATCTATCGGATGTATCTAATGCATAAAAAATAATGCCAAAAGTTCTTATAAAAAATAATATACGTAGGCCGCCATTGGAATTTTTTTAATAATTCTCTAATCTGTATTCTATATAGGAGGAAGGGCAATCAACCAAAATCATAGTACTTAAGCCCTATCGAGCCCCTTGTACGTCCTCCTCATGGGTCGCTCAGGTCTGGATCGTCAGCCACCCCAGACTATTGAAAAACGTGGTGATGCGACCCAGCGCAGTTTCCCGTACGCTGGCCTTAGAAGGCCAACGTTTCCCCAGAACGGGTTCTCGGATTGATAAAACAGCTGGGCAGTCGCAAAGCAAGTACTTGACTCATCTTCCCGTTCACATCCTGTATATAATGTGTCACTCAGTCTCATGTTATAGAAATGCTTCCGTAGCTAACAGTGTCCAGTTGCAATGCCAGTTGCAAATCGAAATTGTTTTCTGGATATAGACTGGTAGTTTTTTACTAATTCCTCACTAGGATTTCTGAGGAATTTCTTAGCTAATGAGCAGCCCGATGTATCATCCCACATATTGTATCGTCTATGATATTACCCTTGAATTGTGAATGACTCTTCATCCAGGCAACAGTTACTTTATTACTGGTAGAGGCACTCACAAGTGCCGAGTGGCTGACTAATGCTGTCCTCGTTGTAAACTTACAACACTTGAGAGTCAGTATTGCTTGGCTGCTGTCCATGGAAAACCCAATATTTTTGCCTGTGACATTTCTATAGGCAATTTTCTTTACGGCTAAAGTTCTACCAGCTAGTTTGACCTGTGTCTCGCCGGTATGTCCATAGACCACTTGCATGTCATGCAGAGGCTCGTAGAATATGCTCCTCAGCCAGCCTCATCATTTTTCTTAAATCCTTCAGTGTTAATATCACCTTCCTCGATGGTTTTAAGAAGTTGTCGTAATGGCATAGGGTCGATCAAAGATGAACTTCGGAGGGATACTATCCATGTCAGCCAGCAGGAGTAGCATGTCAGTAATTCCGTATTCAACAAGCGACTCCACAGCCTTTGTTCAGCTGTCCACCAACGAATTTAAGGCGTACCATTGTTGCCAAAGTCACTTGTACCATATAAGTTTTTAGTGTTGACAAATTCAGCAACACTTCCAGTGCTTTAATAATTCTCTAACATTTTGAGAGCGTGGTAACCATTTGAGGCCTCACATGATAATGTTCTTGAAAAACATATTTTTGTTTGATTTCAATAAAATACTGTTCCAATCAATGTATAGTATTAGTCTATTCATATTAGATAAAAATACCCCTGAACAAATGCGCTACGATATTCGAAAAACATATGTTACTATACACATTTTAAAACAAAGCAGATGTGTGTATCATCTTTTGTTGCGAATTACTCACATATACGACATGTTTGAATTTGTATAGAAGAAAAAATGTAACCCATCATTTTTTGCATAAAAATAACATTTATCTTCCGGAATGGGTTGCGATTCAACCGGCAAGATGAACACGTTTTTTTTTTCTATTAAATGCTCTTTGAACGAACCCTGTATGTTGCTCAATAAATGATGGGCGGAAAACAGATGTTTTGGGATAAACAATTAGATATTCTCAGAAAACCACATAACCAATATACTACAATTTTGTTGTTGTTATTTAGAAGAACGAATCCTACGGATTTGAAGAATTTCAAGTAGTTGCGTGAAATTATAGTCGCATTACCAAGTGCCAAAACCTGCATTTTGCCTCGTCTTTGGGCCATAACATTTTTACTCTTAGTCGGATCTTTTTACGTGTGATCGCATTTTGTAGGTCTCATAAATACCTAAAAATCTTTTATGAAAAGTTATTTCGTTTCTGTCAATACTTTCGATTGAATCGAAAAAAACACATTTTCTCATTCTTTGTTGTCAAATAAGAAGTTTTCCCACAAAAATTGGTGTACCCATTTTATGCGTCCATGCTTTAAATACCCCCTTGAACAACTTGCACCAATAAAACCAGACGTACAATTATGTCGGAGAAACTTGCTTATATGATTAGACTATATACTTCATCCGATCCTCTAAAAGCACTAAACTAAACCTGGGGTTTCGGATTACGAATCTGTCACCAGAAATGTATATTCAAATTGCCGGAACCAACTGGATTCAGAACCAAAATTAAAGGAACTGTACTCAAACAATGGTTGTTTTTCCAATAATGACTTGTTTCACGCGATATTAAGCAAGATTACATTTTGACGGAGTAAAGTTCGGGCTTTTCATAAATGTCATCGTTGAACCATTATTGTCAAGGTTGTCAAAAATTGGCAATATTGTGTTGATACTTGAGAATCTAAGGCCCGTATCGTCAGTCGTCCCTTCAATTGAAGGGGACCTTTATGGCCTCCTTGATTGTCATAGTTTTCTACTTCTCAGCGCTCTATTTTGAGGTTATGTCACAAACATCTATTTGCAACAAATTGTGCTTGCTTTTGAGTTATATCATGTTTTATCAGCCTGAAATTTCCTACAATTTGAAAAGAAAACATATCTTCACAATAGGAGAGCGCTGACGCTGACACGCGACAAATGTAATCTAGAAATTTTTAAAGGAGAGAAAGGAGTATGACAATCAAGGAGACCATAAACGCGCCCTACAATTGTAGGGACGACTGACGATAAGGGCCTAAATGAGTTAATGGTTTTCCAGGGCCTCCATCATGTGCTGCGCCTACTGGTTACTGTTCTGTCAAAATTATACAGTGTCATTCAAAAATTATTCATAAAAAACCTTTTTGCAGGGTCACCATTCAAGGGCCTGGATCTATAACACGACATTTTGAAAATCATCAGAAGACAAAAAGTCTTATAATAGTTGTATATTATTTTAAGTGTATTTCGCTAAAAATCTTTAAACTATCTTCGGCGTCCTGGGGTTTGGAATTTACGTCTAACGGCTCTCGACGATTTAGCCACGCTGTAAAATATCGCATTCACACGAACTTCGATGTTGTTTTTTGACTGTTTCATATGTGGTGCGAATGTAATATAATTGCAAGAAATGCGTTAATTTTTTATGTGCTTATTTGCCAGATGTCATTAGCAAGCACATCGAGTGAGCAGAGTCCTGAGCCGCTGTTTGACATGCACGATCTCCATGGGCAGGCTGCGTTGCATGTGGCTGCTAGATTAGGTCAAGCGCAGGTGGTCAAGGTAAGGAATCTAATCTTGATAGCCATGAACAAAAAGTTATTATTATAATCCGGGATTCCATATAAGTACAACAAAACGTGCACAATACTATATCAAGAAATCAAAATTCTGTAGGTTATAAAGGGTTTTCTAATAAGAAGGCGCCCATAGTGAAATGGAATACAATAAACTGTGTGGGAGGTATTCATATTTTTACTTCCCACGACATTGTCAAGGAAGAATTGTAATCGGTAAGAAAATTGAAAATGGGATATTATTTATGTACATCATGAAAATCCATGTTACTTATTTCCGTCGGTCTGTCTGTCCGGTAATCATTAACCCCCCTATAACTTGGAAAGTACTGCTCAAATATTGAAGAAATTTTGACTGCTTCTATGCCAAGGCCGAAAGAGCTTTGTAGTTTTTGCAAATTCGATCCAGTGACGGCGGTGCTAGGGGCAAAAAACGAAGAAATAAAAATCGCTCAAACTTCGTCGTTTGACTTTTTTTTAACTTATATGTTAGCTAAAAAATGGGGGGTAGAGAAGGGTGTCTTCTACGCTTCTAACGCCCGTAATTTTACGCACTTATTGGAGGTACTTTACGCATAGATTTACCCGTATATTTGCCATTTAAGACAGAACGAATGAAAACAGAAGATCTTGTCGGGTGGGAGCCGTCGATCGCAGATTCATCGGCTCAGACACTAGCGTCTTCAGGAATTTCTTTCTGGGGAGACGATTTGACTTTGGCGGGAGGAATGGAAGAGCGGGGGGAATTCTGCTCGCGGGGGGAGGAGTGGGGGGCAATCTAAAAATCTCTAATGTGCTACACAAAAATATGTTAAATGTGCAAATTTTAAAAGGAAGCCAGATTCTCGGTGACCATCGGTTGTGGCTGTAGACTAATTCTATGGACCTGTTTGACTGACTTGATCCATTGAATTTCTTTCTAAGAGACTTATGCCGAACATAGTATTTCATTTACTGGTGACAGCGTTGCGTGGGGAGTACAGGGTCCACATAATTGACATTTTTTATTGTTTGGAAGGCTTGAATGAGGTCCAATATTTAATGAATGTCACATAAGTCAAGTTGAATTTGAGTGATGAATTGCATTATGTTGTCGTTTAAGGCTTCCGGCTTATTGACGTAGTCGCGAATTAAGAAAATCCACAAAAATTCTTATAAGAGGGATGTCTTTTAAGTTTTGCATATAGAAACATAGTAGGCCGCGCGGATCGGACGTCAGTACTGAATCTTAACCTCACTCTTTAGTTAACTTAAATTCAAAGTTTCACAGCAATACGTGCAGTGTTCTCACTGCAGTGAATTTTTAAGTGTCACCAAGTCATTAGAAAAATGGAACTCAAATGGAACATTTTCGCGCCATAATTTATTACAACTTTCAGAGACAATTAGCTCGACGACAGTCGGCTGTTTGGGTGTTCCAAGGTGAAGAAAAGCCAACAAAAGTCATCCGTTCTCGAAGTGTTTCGAAAAAGATGGTCGCGACATTTGTGTCAAAAGCGGGTCATATTGCAACAATTGCTCTTCATGAGCAAAGAACTGTTACTGCGGATTGGTATACCACCATTTGTTTACCAAAAGTCATCACCGAGCTTCGAAAAATCAACCCCGAAAGAAGAATCATCCTCCACCAAGACAATGCAAGCTCGCACACAGCCCAGAAAACGTGGAATTATTGGACCATCCTCCATATAGTCCCGATCTAAGTCCTAACGATTTCTTTACTTTCCCGAAAATTAAAAACAGACTGCGTGGTCAAAGGTTCTAGTCACCAGAAGAAGCAGTTGACGCATTCAAAAATGCCGTTTTGGATCTGCCAGCAAACGAGTGGAATAAGTGCTTCGAAAATTGGTTCGAGCGCATGCAGATGTGTATTAATCTTCGTGGAGAATACTTCGAAAAACAATTAAGTCATTTAAAACTACCTAGCGTGTTGTTTTATTTCCATATGCAAAACTTAAGAGACATCCCTCGTATCAAATTACAGGATGCCGAATTCAATGCGCTCCACGCAAAATGTCCATTGTGTGATACGTAACACCGCGCCGTCCTGCTAGAACCACATATCTTCCACACAATATTTCCAGTAATTTTAACTTTGAAATAGGCCACCGTGGTGGCAGAAACGTCAGTAAAAATAATAACGACGTGTGGTTTCATTTGGTCAGAAGATCGTGGAGTTTCTTATCGTGTAACTTGGCTCATAAGAAATTGGTTATCATTGACCTGTAGCCCTTAATATTGATGGTGATGGCCTCGCCAATGTTACCTCACACAGATATTGTTTTAGTTCATTCAACAATGAAACTTTTGGAGTACTAGAAAATGTTCAAAGTTGTATCCGAAAGCATATTTTTACACACCACTATCAAAGTCAATAATTTCCGGTTTAGAGGCCAGGAATTGAGTCCACTATGAATGAATACAAATCGGTAATTGCCGTTTTTATCTATCATGAACATATTAATGCGTAATGATATTGATAAGTGAGGAGCATCCTTAGGTTAATTTTGAACCACCGTTTAAGCGTACTTGTTACTTTTTTGGGATACCAAAAATGAATGTGAATTTGCACTCTTTAACATATACTAGATATTTCATTATATAAGCGATCCCGGACTATTAAGGCATAAAAGCAAAAGTTAAACATTTGCGAGTTAAGCAGAAGGATTCTGTGTCCTGCTTCCTAAATATACTTGTAAATTGCTATCTACGGAAATATTTTTTTAAAAAGTCGAAATACTTTGATGAAAATGGAATGAGAAGTACTTCTTTTATACACTTGGCACACATGTCTCTAAATTTTACAACAAAAAGATCAGGCCCTGGATTAAAACCAATATTCCTCTGAAGTGAAACGCGTGTCGAATGTTAAAAAATAGTTTTTTTAGGAAAACCTCACTCTATTCCACAAATTGATTTCAAAGTCATTTCAATCAAAATGCAGAATTGCCTGAATTAGGAATACCTGAATTGATTGCAGAGAAATGTACGTTGCAGTATACATTCGTCTGATATTTCAAATGTTAGACAATAATGCTGGTATCTAGCAATTTCCATTTTAGAAATCATATATCGACCGTTCAATAAAATAAGAAAGTTGCAATACTTGAAAGTGCCCATTCTTAATTTTATTGCACTGACAAATTGCTTAGAGACAAGTTCAGTTTTTGTGGAATGTTCGAGCTCATGCTTTATATAGAGATAATACGGCTGTACCGCATAATTCCAGTCGTTTATATGTGGGCTGTTGAATGCTAGAGCGTTGACTTTGAATATCCATCTTGATTGCTTAAATAGGAAGTTCTTTCATACATTTACATGTGCTGCAATTCCATCGCATAATATAATAAACTCGCGATCACCATAATTCGATTGGAGCAGTCCGACACGTTTATCTAAACCCTAAATTTGTGACTTTTCGATCGTATAAGGTGTTCCGAAAAAATGATAGTGCAATTTCAAATAATTTAAGGCAGTAACAATTTCACCATTCTGTTACTTATAGACTAAGTATGATTTGGTTTCTCATTCTCTTTAAGTATCAGTGGCTTCTAAAACAAAATTAAGACCAATCGGTTCCCATCCGAACTCATGCTTTCTAAATAATTAAAAATTCCTCTACAATAAAGCAAGTATGATGTGCCTTATACGTGAAAAATCCGTAGCATGTACGGAACCATCAATTTTATATGTCGATACTGAGTTATGAAGTGGTCTTCAAAAATTGTAAACAATATATCAATAGTCTTGAAATAAGAATGGATTAACTGTTCATTAAATTGTAGCTTGAACTGTGGGAGATAATTGTTTATTTTGTTATAATGTATACAGTCAATATTATCAATGCATAAGTGCATTGGAGCTTAAATCATTCTAGGAATTACGATTGGTTATAATCAGTAGAAAAGGTGAAATCTCTTTGGCCGTTGACCTGTCAATTGTTTAGCTGCACCGTAATTTACCGAAAAATCGATGTGAATTGTTTTTTTCAAAGCAGTGCTCATTTAAATCTTGTGATTTGAATATTAAGTAGATATTTCAAATCCAGGTGCGAATAAAAATGTTATTGCAGGTATTATTGGAAGCAGGTGCAAATGCGGATCAAGCGGATGTCGACGGTTGGACACCTTTAAGAGCTGCAGCATGGGGTGGACATACAGAGGTATGAATTTTTTAGTAGCTTCACATTTTGGTCTGGAATTGTTTATATAATTTGCTTTAGTCAGATTAACTATCACCTGCAAAAGATCCTACACATATTATTTATAGGGTTTTAGGCACTTTTTAAAAATCTCCAAATAAGACCATTACTCTCATATTGATGTTACTGCACGGTAAGTCTGTGTCCTAACAAAACGTATTTGTTACGTGTAAAGATTTGTGTCCATACTGTTGATAATTGTGGGTGTTACCTTCTTTTGTTACGTGTAAAGATTTGTGTGCATACTGTTGATAATTGTGGGTGTTACCTTCTCGCAACACGCAAACATATTTTTTCAAATAAATCATCCTATGTATAATTTATTCGTGACATCCGTCTTAATTCTAACAGTTTTTGTTATGATCCACAGGTAGTTGAGCTCTTAGTGAAACACGGCTGTTCCTTGGACAGCGTTGATGCTGAGAATCGGACGGCTCTTCGGGCTGCAGCGTGGTCAGGTCATGAAGAAATCGTCAAAATTCTTTTAGAACATGGAGCGGATGTGAACCTAACTGATCACGAGGGCAGGACGGCGCTCATAGCAGCGGCATATATGGGACATAGTGAGATCGTAGAGCACTTGTTGAATTACGGTAAGCAACATTATACTATTCAATTCAAATAATAGCTGAGCAAAAATGACGATTTGTATGATCAATTGTACTAAATTTGAGCGACTCACGGTATTTTGAGATTTTGCCAAGCAGAGAATCACAGGTACGCAAGTGCTAGAATCCATAGCAAGTTCCTAAAAAAAACAATACGAATTATTTGCTAACTAGATATACTGAACTCATATGTATGGCGGATTATGAAAAATAAAAAACTTCGTACAAGTTTTGATTACATACATTCCTGAACGAAACTAATCGAAAGTAACGAGCGTTTCTATTCTAATGTGAACTACTACCAAAAACTTGAGCTGCTAGAGATTGTTCCCATCGGGTCTGTTACATGAAGTGTTTAAAAAAATTGCACTCACTTGTGACTCACGGCAGTCTGTATTACACTGGCCCTGTAACGCTAACTCAAAAGGCTTCGTCCTCTTGAGCCTTCTTCAGATGTCCCCATTGACCAGGAGCTAGAATGCTTCCAGAGTTACGTATGGAGCTGTTTTTCTCATCTGTGGCCATACTGACTGACTGACGCCAAAAAAGATCACTTCATCATGTACCACGAAACATGGCCTAAACCCAGCAGTACATTGTTCTGAAATCATTGGATGACCTCAAGATTGCTCTTTCTGACATATCCTCATAGCAGTCCATGTATAGTTTCAGTATTTGGTTGTAGATTAAAGGGTAGTTTTGCATTGAAAGCTGGTAGTTTCTGTACAGCATCCACTTTATTTTCTGATATTTATGGTCTTGCTTTTTCAGGTGCTGACATAAACCATGCTGATGCAGATGGTAGAACAGCGCTGTCTGTAGCGGCCTTGTGTGCCCCAAGACAGCCTGGTGTCAACGTAGTGTCAACATTACTAGAAAGAGGGGCAACAGTAGATCACAAGGACAAAGAAGGAATGACACCATTATTGGTAGCGTCGTTCGAAGGTCATAGGTAAGCTATAATAACCTCACAGAATTTGTAACTGATGCTGCAGTAAGCTAAAGATACCATTGTTGCTAAGTTTCGTTCATTTTTGTTCATAATCGAACAGTTTGTATGAGAAATATTTATTTCAATTTTTTATATTTTTATAGAGACGTATGTGAGCTATTGTTAGAAAACGAAGCTGACGTGGATCATTGTGATCATAGTGGGAGAAGTCCATTGTGGGCGGCTGCTAGTATGGGCCATGCACCAGTGGTAGCACTTTTGCTGTTTTGGGGTTGTTGTATAGATTCCATGGACTCGGAAGGCCGAACAGTGTTATCTGTAGCAGCCGCACAAGGTTTGTCTTTTTTGTATGTTTGTGACAACACTATAGTACATCTCGAAGACACAGGCAATCTGGTGAATGAAAAGACGGTGTTTCTCTAAGTATCTCAGTGTCATTTTGGGGAACGGTATCACTTGATGGAAATATACTGAAGCGTTCAGAATTAAATTTCAAATTATGTTTGGACAGTTCTCCCCACCATTATGTAGACATTTAGTTTGATCAACAAAATTAGGCTATATAAAATAGCCATCAGATCAGCAATAACATATGCTTGTGCTTGTGTTCTATTGGCAGAACGCATGTTTGAAATATACAGGCTCTGCAAAGTGGACTACATTAAACGACAGGCGCAGCGATAATATGCCCAAGCGAAATTGTATAGTACGAATCAGTAGACTGCACAGCCAAGCAAGCTCGTAACCATAAAAGGCCGCGGCGAGCACTGTAACCATAATTAACTCGTTAATTTAGAACCAAAATCAGAGCATTTTGACAAAATCTTCACAAAAGAAAATATTTTTGGACCTTACAGAATTTGTAGAGTGATTTAAACAATGCTTAATCTCCGTTTTTTTTCTTTTCCTCTTCCCTTTACGCTTGACATTGTCTGGTTTCTGGGTTATCAGTGTTAATAACTTCCGAATTCATACTATAACACAAGAGCTAAGGCCCTACTGACCTCTCTGACAACCAACGATGACTTGACCAAAGCACATTTAATATTATTTGTAATTCTCGCCGATATAATGGGTTCACACATTCCATAACGCGCATCCCTCTTATTATGGACTTATGGACTTTATAAAACGCGCGCGCGACGACACAGCGTCGGTCACGATCGTTTGTGGTAATATTTCGGAACATCTACCGAGGTCTCGCGGTTATAAAAATTCAACATATGGTATTTATTATCTGCCTTGCGAGAGAAATCAAGGCAAAATAATGCGGCAATGAATTGTGATGTTGTAAAAAATTGTGCGTGAAATTTGGAATATATACAAATATTACTCGACGGTATTGGATAAGCTGTGGGTTGTATCAAAACAACAATACTGTTTTCATATCGGTCATTTTACCTGAATAGCAGCAAACATGTAGTGACAGGTAATTGTATTGTTTTTTGTTTAAGGTTGCGTTGAGGTAGTCAGGCAACTGCTGGATAGGGGCCTAGACGAACAACACCGCGATAATTCCGGGTGGACCCCATTGCATTATGCAGCTTTTGAGGGGCACCTGGACGTCTGCGAAGCACTGCTTGAAGCAGGAGCCAGAGTAGACGAAACGGATAATGAGGGTAAAGCTCCATTAGCGCTTTCTGCTCAGGGCGGGCATACTGCGCTTGTAAATATATTGATAGAGAAGTATAATGCACCTGTGGATCAGAGGCCACACGACGGAAAAACTGCACTCAGGTAAGCCCATTGACAAATCAAACATGGCTTCATTCCCTGTTGTAGTATTTCTTTAATATACACTACTGAACTCTATTCAGTTTTCATTTAATTCGTGTAAAAACAAAAGCAGCTCAATATCTTCAAATTTTCCCGTTCTTAATGGCTAGTGGACTACAAGTGCCTGAACAGCTCTTTAGTAAATACGTACAACTATTGTACTAATACTTTACTCTAAAAGTGATTCTCTTAGGTTAAGAAGTGAGTGCCGTATGGGCTTTGATGTTCCCTTGGAAGTAATGAAACCATGATAATAACACTTTTTTGAGCGACGTTCAAGAGAGGATTTGACGTTTGCATTCCACAGTAAGCTGCAGCAGATGTCATCTCAGGCTGTCATCGATGTCAGGAGAATTTTTCATTGCTGGCGGTATCTGTTTAGCATTTGTTGATGAATTTTGGACGGAATGGTTTATTTTTGTGCTAAATATTAAATATTGCTAAACAATGCAAAATGGTAATGTAATTGTTCTCTTGAATTTATATATCGGAATCGGACCAGTAAGTACTGGACAAATTTAAAGGAACTGTTGAAAATAAAAAACTAATAGCTGCCTAATCGAGGAACAGTGCTTGTGAACGAATTGCTTAAACCTTAACGAAAATAATACACCCAAAAGAACCAGTAAACAACTGAAAAAATGTGGAAGAACACCAAAAGGTATGTAGAATGATTTTGTAACAGCTAGGGAAATAACAATATTCTCTATGAATTAATTTTTATAAAGCTGCCTTTTTCTTATGGGAAGTGTTGATTGTTTGCTGAAAATAGTGCAATGTCTGCATGTATGAGTATTTTGAATTTTGGGATATTTCAAAGAACAATAATGCAAAGGTCTCATATTATACTATATTGCGCTTCAGAAACCAAACTATGGTGATTTTCCTACTTTTGCTTGATGTTATACGGTTTTTTGAGTTTTTTTTTTGTATTTCAATTAAAAACAAGTTGACATTATTCAGATTTTTTTGCCATATCGATTTCTTACGTAAAGTGCCGGAGTCTACAAAATGCACAGACTGTGGTATAATACTGGTTGCATGTACATTTTACTGGTTTCGATTCCTATATAAATTCGAGAAAGCAAATAAATTACTATTTTCCATTGTTAAACCATTCTGTCTCAATTTTATCATCCAGCAAAGAAAAATCTTTCTGACAACGACAGCCTGTGATGACATACATACTGTGAAATATGAAAATGTTAAATCCTCCCTGAAACAGCTATCAGCCCTCAAGGGTCCTTTATAAATATGGCTCTAAATCAGCTGATGTCAAAAATGCTTGAAGGTTACACGAACCTTCTATCAGCATTACACTTTTTTCATTTTTTCAGGCTAGCTGCGTTAGAAGGTCACTACGATATTGTACAAATTTTATTATCTCACGGAGGTGACATAGATTCAAAAGACGCGGATGGTAGAAGCACTCTATATGTTTTAGCATTAGACAATAGATTAGCAATGTCAAAGTACTTCATACAGCAAGGAGCTGATGTAGAAACTCGGGACTTGGAGGTATGATTTATACTTATTTAGACCTTTCTCAACTGAAATATTGGAGTGATTTATATAATTTACAAATTACCTGATTGAACAGATAAATATTCTACCTTCTTCCAGGGCCGGACACCACTGCATGTGTCATCATGGCAAGGCCACACTGAAATGGTGTCCTTACTTTTAACATATGGAAAGGCTCAGGTCGATGCGTGTGATTTAGAAAATAGGACAGCACTTCATTCAGCCAGCTGGCAAGGACATAGCGATATTGTTAAGATACTGCTGGAAAATGGAGCTGTTCCTGATCATACGTGCAATCAGGGAGCTACTGCTTTAGGTGAACACATTCTGTCAGTCAGCAGAAGCATTTATAATAATCATCATTATTGAGTACAATGTTCTGTAAACATTGTCAAAATAAAATTTGTTTTTCTGCAAACGGGTATTCATCTATTCATATATTATTTGACTTGAATCATGAGAGCAAATTTTAGAATATCAAAATATTTAGCTAGGCTTGTGACTAGTACCTCAAAGTCATCTACTATAACCTGATTTGGGTTCTTCAAGAGATTATCCCTTAACGGTTCTAATTCTGCACAATAGGTTCTTTGGATTTCAGAGCCGAATTGAGATTGACTAGTTGGAGTTCAGAACGGTTCTGGGATAGTTCCATGTAGAAACTTGAACTGTGCTATTATCACGCGGTTCATGTCAACGTGCAATCTGAAGTCAATCAAGTCTTCAATCTTCTAATTCACGCTTTTCTGTATTCTAGGTATTGCGGCTCAGGAAGGACATGAACTGTGTGTGGTAGCCCTTTTAGAACACGGCGCTGACCCTAATCATTCGGATGCTTGCGGAAGAAATGCTTTAAGAGTAGCTGCTAAATCTGGGCATAGGGGTGTGGTTAGGCTACTTGAAGAATACAATGCTCGATCGCACAAAATTGCGCACACTAGTAGCAGTGCCAACAGCATAACGTCAGGTAAAGTCGATCTGTTCCTAAAGAAACATAAATAAAACATTACATATAATTAACTCAAACATTCTTCTATAGCTTCTACAGCAGAAACTAAGCCTTCCTGTGCCATTTTGTATCCGGGAATGGGTAGCGCAGGAGACTGGACGGATCAACAACGCAGGTCCATGGTCTCGTTAGGAAATCACAGTTCCAACTCCAAGTCCAGTTCTAACCTCACGGGTTCTAGTCAGTCAAGTCGACATGGTGATAGGCAGAGGGGAGAAAATACACAAAACACACAGGTGAGAAAAGTCAATGAAAACTAATAATCGTAACAATACAAACATATATTATTTTTTAGCCCCTGTCGTTCACGCAACAGCTACAGCAATGTACAAGAGGTGGTAAGACACGACCTTTGAGCAAGTTGCTGTCGCCCTTGCAAAGTGAACCTCAAAGTCCTATCTATGCTTCACCTCCACTCAGCCCTGTACATGACGCACCTAATATGTTTGGTAAGAACCAATTTTATATTTCGATGCCCTACTGCCAATATCACGTCTTCAGATTTAGCTAACGTTTGACATTGTCTCCTACATGCGCCAATATCCAAGATAGAGTAAAACTTCTGGAGTACCTTGAACGTCACGGCTTGATTAGCGATGGGCAGTGTACTCTACGGGGGACCTCCGAGCTTATGTCACGCAACTAGGGAGTAAACTCATGCAGTCACGTGGTGATGCTCATGTCATTGCTCTTGATATCACGAAAGCGTTCTCTCTTATACATACTTCCATTGTATGGCTTCAAGAGAAGCGTTGCAGATGTGTGGCTGACTTCCTCTCTGGCCGCAAGATATCCGTCGTAATTGACAGATTCTCCCCTTCATCCCACATGTCAACGCGGGTGTTCCCCATTGATCACTCTTGGCTCCGAAATTGTTACTCTTACACATCAACGACCTCCTTTCCTGTAAAACCAAGTTACGCCCCTTTCATTCGATCTGGGAACAAGCTAGACTACTTGTTTAGAGCTAAGAAGGACTTTTCTCCTCATAACCTCTCTCTATACAAGGCCCAGATGAGACCGAGCCTCGAGTATTGCTCGGGGTGTTTGGGGTGCTGCCGCCCCGCCTACATTATCCATGCTGTTCAGAGGAGGGCTGTCCGACTGATCGATGACTTTTCTCTAACGGACAGTCCCTGTACTCTTTCGCACCGACGGACTGTCGGCGATCTAGCTCTGTCTTCTACCGCTACGCCGCCGCGCGATCTGCCCGGCTTCGGCTTGTGACGAAATTCCGTACATCCAGAACTGTCCGATACGACCGCTCCTTTGTCCTTAGGGTATCGAGATGAGGAGGCTTTTCCCAGTAATACTAGCCTTAGGCAGTTCAAAAATCGGATTAATCAGGCTCATTTAAGCTCCTCATAACAGCCGCGGTGAAAAACGCAGCGTTCATGGTGTATTTGTTATCCACCACGTGGCCCATTAACCTGCGCCGGCCATCGAATCACCGCAAGACTATTCTGAATACGACCATCGTGCTCAATGTTTCAGCTTTGGACTATCACGCGAGAAGTGCTTAAATGTGCTATATTGGCTTTGGTTGGGATGCGGATCCCGCTTAAATACTAACGTGTCTGTGGTATTTGATACGCCTCAATTTATTCCATACTACCAGTACCTATGTTTTTTTTATTATTTTTACATAAGAAGTACTTCATCCTATTTAATTTGTTATAGGTGCCATGAACATATACCAACCAGTTTTAAGGCATAACAACTTCGCCAAAGCTCCAGATACCCATTTTGCTCGAGACACTCACATGAGGATAATCTTGGGCAATTCGGGCAGTTCGCCGTTTACGAAAGAGAAAAAGTCTGATCAGTCGCATTTCGAAAATAGCAACACAAAATCGAAGTGAGTACAAGTTATTTCATTATATTAGTGACATTATCCATTCTACCATTTCATGCACTTTCTTTTCTTGTGCTTCTGTCTGTATAGACTGGTGCACTGGTGCTTGATGACCTTCTAGCACCCACAATTTCACAATTTTTTTTTTAAATGTACTCAACATATTTATAGCAACATTGCTATACCGGATGCCACAAAAAAGTGAACCGCGCTGAAAATTATAATATTATAATTATTATGTTTGCGGGTTAATTTTAGTAAAAAATGGAACGATGGAGTACTTCATGTTTTATTGGCAGTTGGGGTTCACAGGGTATTTGGATTAAGAAAAATTTGAATTTTGATCTGACTATTATCTTTTGATACTAACCGAAATTGTACAAACTCCCGTGTAGTGTAAAAGTTACTCAGCTAGGTTATAACGTGTTTTACGAATAACCCATATTTCCATAAGGTTATAAATCACTTTCTCCCTGCCGCTTTCACATAATTTATTCGTACACTCTGTATGTTATTCGACTCACATCTTAGGTACCATTTTACATATCATTTAAGATGATACAAACTGTTGCTGTCAAACGCAAAGTTCCTACTACGTATTGGCGCTGTACAATTGCTGCTTGGAGCAGTCGTGCAACACAAATAGATTGAGTTTAGAGAGTTCCTTAATTGAGAGGGAAAAATAACCGATAGAAAGTAAGCGCGTTTCGTGAACTGTGTTTTCTGAACATTGATGAAGGAGTTGCTTCCCGGGTAATTTTCTGGAGAACGAGTGCTGAACTCTCGCGGCTGTCTATCAATCGTCTATCTCTAAATTCGAAATTGGCTTTGATATGAAATGTACAATGATATGAAGAACCTATAACAGGTTATTTTGCGAAAATGGATGTTCCACGGAGCTCAAGAAGTCTCCCCAGTAGGAATGTGTTGACTTCTACACTCTAAGCTCTATACTGAGCCGAGGAGCTTAGGCAAAATAACAGCAAATCGATAGTTCCACCATTCATTCGTAAGATTGTGTTTGACAGCCTTGGTTGCTATCGTCCTATTTGTACCTTTACGCAATATCAAACTGTATCAACTGTCATTTCATCCAATCTCCATTCCCATTGTAGATACAGATCTTTCAAAATTTCAGCCGACCAATGTGTAATCCCTTGCTCTATTATTTTCAGTAGCTTCATTAATAAACTTTTCAGCGGAGGCGGCGGTGGCGGAGCGCCATCGTCCACCGCTGGTGGTGGGGGTGGCGCTGGAGGCGGCAAACCGAAGCGCAACGGCATCGTGACCAATCCGGCGCTGCGATTGGTCGCAAACGTGAAGAACGGTCTTGACACGGCCGCCGCCAATCTGCGCAAGTCCGCGTCGGGGGCAAACCCCGCCTCCAAGACCAACAGCTTCCACTGGCGGAAGGAGACACCTCTCTAGAGGCGGCCGAGACAGTGGGGGTAAATGTTGGGATCTTAGAGGATGGTTGCTAGTCATTGTTACGGTGAGTGCACATATTTTGTTATCAAAGTTAGTTTCGGCTATTCAACTTTAGATATGACCGTTATGGTTATTTTTGATGCCTGATACCGTTACTTTTCGATATAGCGATTTAAAAGCCTGATTTTCGAATAATAATAATAATATAGGTGAGCTCCGCTGATTCGTCGTAGAGGACGGATGGCACCGTAATCGGCACGGGTATCATGTAAAAAACCTATAAGATGTCAACTTGCAGACTAGTTAGTTTTTAGGGCGCAAACAGTCATTCCACGTTTGCTCACTAGGATCGTTGTGAACGCCCATCTATGAAGGAATCACTCAACTAAACTACGCATTATTGGTTGCATAGTTCTGTTCAAACTGAGTGATCCGGGTCTGTAGTTTTTATCTCTGAGAAGAAAGTTGGTTGAATAGCAAGATCGACTCTCGATGATTATGTGTATTGGTCTGCATGTGTATAAAATCAGTGATATTTGCTGTGTGAGAAAACCATTACTGGATATGCCGAATATGACGGGTTAATTATATGTTGTGCTTTCTGAAGAGAGGTTATGTTCAAAGTTATAAATTACGAAAAACTGAGGTGGATTACGGGAAATCATCACCGCGTTGGTGTAATTACTGTTAGCATGTATATGGCTTGTAATTCAACAGTGATTATAATTATTTTTTATCTCTCTCATTTTTTAAATTCAGCAAATTTGTATGTGTAATTTCCAGAGTGGATAAGAAAAAGTGAATGCGCAACTAATTTCTAGCTTTGAATCTCAATTAAGTGTATTTGAGACAAGAACCCAATGTAATTATCATCAACACATACAACTTACAGCTTAAACCTCCAGGAATGCCATCTCAGAAGCAGACTTTACATCACATCAGAGCCAAAGATTGATAACAAGCCTCATGACGTTTAGGCAACACGTACAACTAAGTGCCAAGTTAATATCTGGTAGAATAATCTACATAATGCCAAAAAAACAGCATAATGTCAAAAAAAAATAGGCATAATGTCACTTTTCAAGTTACGTGATACCCCTGCGGTGCAGGTGCAGAGAGATGCAAGGCCATGATTATTTCTAACATCTTTCCATATTTGTTAAAAGTTTTGTGTTATATTGTCAGATCGTGTCGTACAGAACATGGTATTTTTAGTAAAACTTGACCAACATGCATAATTGTTCTTACTAGTGGTTATTGAAAGTAATTTGTAATTTGAGCAGCTATCGGGTTCATCACAAGCTCATAGTAATCTATAATTAATTATTTATTATATATTTTGAGGAAAATACCGCGATCAAATCGTATGGTTCAAGCTACCAAACCCTGTAAGGAACGATATCGCTTGCAGGCCATGGGGTTATCCTAAGGTAGTATACGACTTTCGACCTAGCCAACCACCGCGCATCCCGTAAAAATTCATTACCTAAAGCGGCATCAGTTACTAAATCACAGTTCGTAGTATCTCTGAATTCACGCGGTTGAATCGCTGAAAACAACTTACATCCGTTTCCCGTTACAAAGGGTAAGGGAAACATAGCGTGTCTGTCTTCAGGAAAAAGCTAAGCTGCCTTTGGGACACCTGTAACTGGCAGAACCATTTCCCTTCCGAATCTTCGTTCATAAAAAACACTTTGGCGAAAGTTGAGGTTTACGACGTAGCTGATCAATTAAGGTGTTAGGTCGATTACTATGAACAGCACTTTGCCTGCAACACGACTTCATGGCTGCGTTCTCAAATGACAATTATGCCAACTCTGGTGCCACACAATAATGTTCACGAATGTAAAGAATTGATCGTTCAAAGCGTGTCTAGATTATTCAGTCCAAAATTGTACAATCTGCTCTATTTGGAGCTGGTGTGGATGTTTCCATAGATATAACATACCTAAGAAATGAAGTGGCATTAAGCCGTTTGGAGTAACGGAATGTTGGCCCTTAGAGCGCACCTAACGGTTGGCCAGCGCGTACGAGTTGGCGCGATAGTCGTCCCTATAATTGTACAGGGTGGCGCAGAGGAAACGCACGATTTTCACCTAAGCATAACATTTTTTATTTTCAAGATAACTTTGTTTCAGTTACAGCTAAATAAAGTAATGATAGTGCACTTTTAAACTAATGATGGTAAATAACGTCACTCAAGTGTCGCCCTGCTTCGCGCTCGCACATCTCCAACCGCTCTTGAAAGTTGTGCATTACACGTAAAATCATTTCTTGTCTTATTCTTGCAATTTCTTGACGAATAGCAATGTTCAGTTCCTGTAACGTACGAGGCTTGTGAGGGTACACTTTATCCTTAAGGTAACCCCACAAAAAGAAGTCGCATGCGGACAAATCTGGGGAGCGTGGGGGCCAAGGGACATCGCCGAAACGGGAAATCACATGTTCAGGAAACATCTGTCGAATCCATTCCATTGATGCTCTCGCTGTGTGAGCTGTGGCACCGTCTTGTTGGAACCACAGCTCTCCCATGTTTACTTGTTGATGTTGAAGTTCGGGTAACAGAAAATTTTGTAACATGTGAACATAACGTGCTGAAGTAAGTGTTTCTGCTCTTTCTTCCTCTTCAACAAAGTAAGGACCAACGATACCTAATTTACTGATTCCGCACCACACAGTTAATTTTTGACTATGCAAGGGTCGTTGGTGTAGCTCTCGTGGATTTTCGGCCGCCCAATACCTACAGTTCTGCTTGTTTACATATCCTGTTAAATGGAAGTGTGCTTCGTCACTCATCATTATGACGACGTCAGGATCGTCAGCAAAAATGTCCCGCATTCTCGCACAAAATTCTCTACGCTGTGCAAAATCGCTTTCCGTTAGCTCTTGCACGATCATTATCTTGTACGGATGATATTGTAAATCGTCATGCAGAATGCGTTGTAACGACCGACGGGACATACGCAGAGTTGGAGCTTGGCGCCTAGTGGACCGTTGGGGACTATCAAAGACCGCTCTTCTCACTGTTTCGATATTGCCTGGAGTCCGCACGGTACGGGGAAGGCCAGGTGGCTTCCTCTTCATTACGGATCCAGTACTTCGAAATGCTTCAACCCATCGGAGTATTGTGTTTCGATCTGGAATTGGCCCGTGGCGTTCAACATTGAACTGTCGACGGAATAAACGTTGCACGATCACTACAGAATCATCGTTTCGAAAAAATTGCTCGACGGCAAACACACGATGCTCCGTCATCCACGGTGCCATGGCTGAAACTGCATCGCATGTGTTCTCTGCTGGCGGTGCGGCGAGGTCATATCCCTATTCTGTGCGAAATACCATTCGGTCAGAAAACATGCGTTTCCTCTGCGCCACCCTGTACTACAGGAACACCATACGAGCCCCTTCCCACTTCAGTTGGCCCACTTCAAGATTTGTACCAAAATATGCCTTTATAAACCAAACATGACGAAACTATTTACTTCTAAAACAATTTATTTTCTTAAAAACATCTTAAATACACTCTAGACGTAAAAAATGCATATTTTAAATCAGTTAGACCTATAACTAATAGAACATCTGAACAAATAAACAAAGTGCGAATAAATGCGCGAAGTTAACAAAGCAACAGTTGAAATATTACCATTGGGTATCATCACCTTTATATTTATTACGGCTGAAATTCTTTGGGGCATACTGTTAACCAAGTTTTGGAAAAATTTGGTGTAAAACAACCCCATATTTCTTGAAGCTTTTGTCTCAGTTCGGTGATTGTACGAGCAGGATGTTGTCGTAGAACCTTATTCATCTCGTGCCACAAAGTTTCAATAGGTGACAGATCTGGACTGCTAGAAACCCATTTCAAAAGTGGTACATTATTTTCTTCCATCCATTTTATAGCCTTTTTTGAGGTATGGCACGCTGCACCATCTTGCTGAAACACAAAATCTTGGCCAGATGTCAAACATTCTTCCATCACTGGTAAAAGCGATTCTTCTAAAATTGCCAAATATTTGTTTGTATAAACATTTCCATCAATAAAATGAAGTTTTCCTACTCCTTTTGTTGACATACTGTCCCAGACCATAATGGATGCTGGAAATTTCACTTTTCTCTTCAGACAGTCAACATGGAATGCTTAATTTTTTTGCGAATAACTCTACTGCGACTGTCACCAACACAAACTTCGAATCGGGCCTCATCACGCCATTGTTGTATTGCACACCATTGTTGAGGTGTCCATTGTCTATGTTTTTTAGCCCATCTAAGGCGATTTTTTTTTGCAGTGGAGTTAATAGTGGCTTTTCTTTGGCCTATAAACAAGTTGTGCAACTTTAGGATTTTTACTTCACTTTTTTTTTTGTGAGAAAACTTACCTTGCAAATGCTAAATCCCAGTTTGTGGGCCTCTCTATGAGTTGCGGACCTCGAAATTCTCCTTCCAACAGCGTCACTCCACAGAGCACTTAATTGCAAATAATTGGCACGCCTATTTTTCACGATTATTCTTCTTAATGCTTTTCGGTCGGCATTTGTGATATTACTTTTTTTCACATATCGTGGCTTAATATTAACTGAACCGGTTACGTTATATCTTCTAACAATATTTCTCACACTGTACCGCGATAAGTCTAACAAAGTTGCAATTTCTAAACTATTTTAAACGTATTCTGACAGCTGTGATTAATAAAAACAATTGTCATGGCTTTTATTTTTCACAGCCACCTATGCGTTATAGACTTATTTTGCATTGAAATGAAAATAGGTTGATATGCAGTAATTGCGACATGTGTTATTTTTATGCTGCAAATTTGATTAGGGAGTGATAAAGTTGGTGTTTTCTACTATATATTATCAAAATATTCATTGTTAATATTTTAAACCTATAACACTCTGCTACATTTTTATTATTTGTGTTTGATAAGAAAAAAACTAAGATTTCAATAGTTGGGCCAACTGAAGTGGGAAGCGGCTCGTATATCTGAAACGACTTTGACGTAACGCTAAAAGCACCACCCCTTTAACGTCAAAATCATTATAGTATTCTGTCACATTGACGAAAATGCAATTTGTCGTTAGTGCCGAATGGAGTGTGATTAAGGAATGGGGTAATATATTCCATGATCATTTCATTTCAGCTGAAGAAAACTTGCCCATTCTTTGTATAGTTCTGTAGCCGGTTGAACTAATGACAAAAGGATTTTCATGACATCTCTGCTGACAGCTTTATTATATTAACGAAAAGTGGTTATACTGCTCTTTAAAGCTCAAGTTTTTTCGCATCCTGTCTTCAGAATGTGACTCTTCTTCTGCCGCAGAGGTTTTTATCCGTCAGATAGGTGCAGAATAATCGTTGTCATATTTATCATTGACAATTCGACATGACGAGAACGGTCTCATTCTATCGATGACCCGGTTAAAAATTAAATCCTATTCGCTGATTCCTTGATAGGAAATAAGAGGAACATGTATTTCAGCTATTAAAACACAATGTGTATTTCTTTATCCTCAAACCACCACAAGGGCCTAAGGCTTAATCACCGTGGGCACAGTGGGGCTATGAGAGAAAACAGGAGAGAGGGGGCGTCCCACGGACTTTAGGGAGGGAACACGTGTGCGTACAACACGTTTGACCTCAACCTACGTCTACCATGTGTGGATGAAGAATTGGTTAGAAGATGGCTTTCTTTGAAAACAATACTTAATATATTTTGCTTGACACTGCCGGGCAGGCAGTTTTTTAAAAACCCAGGGTTCGGCTGTTTTTCCATAAAATGTCTTCATATACTCAACATTATTATATGTTAGTTACGGTATACTCTATACTTACGGTGCTAATCTGTCTCTTTTTCCTTTCAGGTTTTAAACTGGACACGCAAAACAGAGAAAATGTTAATAATAACACTCACCTAGTCTTAAATATATCAAAGAAATAATTTTAATAGGTTTATATTTTATCATGTGTAGAGGTATTTTTCCATTGTTTTTGTTCAAATCAATCAAGTATATTCTCATATCTATTTTTTATCATCATTGCGTTTTGTTCTGTTCGGCCTAGGTTATATTCAACGATGCATTTGTATTAATTCCGATGATTAATACGTTCGAATTTGTGATAGCGTAGCATGTATTTCTTCACATAGTCACGTCGTCAAATATTCAGGTACGCTTACAAGATAAATCTCAAAATTATTTTGAATTGTCGTCGGGTGTAAGTATATGTACATTAGCCAAATCTTGCCATTTTTATTTCTACCAATATCGCATATCACATCACAGTTACTATAACACATCTGACATCATATAGGTTACTATTTCACCTAGTTACTTTTTCATACTTATCTCAAATGTGTCAAATGATATATCGACTTTTGCAGACATTCGGCCATCTTGTATATGTACTTCATATTTTGACGACCAGTATATTTTCTTTGCATAAGAGTGTTTTACGTGATTTCACTTAGCGTAGACTAAATCTCCGTTTTTTTTTTGTAACTTGCAGACACCGATTAGACTTGATTCTGTAATAAACTGTTATAGTCATACACTTAGGGCAATATATGCTTTTCATTACAAAACGTTAGGTAAAATACGATCTCGGTAAGGTAAATACAACTGTGGTCAGAAAATCGTATTTAAACTAATTTATATTGAATTACGTTTCCAATACTTAAACATTTTTTCTAACAGAGTATTGATACTGGTCACAATCATCAAAACATAGCGCCACTCGATCGATCATTCACATTACTGTCAGGATGATTTGTCTTTCTAAGTAATCACTTCATTAATCTTGTCAGTACAGCTTAGGCAGTATCGAGTTATGATGAATGCGACACTGACGGATGTTTCTATTTATTAATGTAACATTTGAAACTCAACCTGTGGTTTTCTTGTAGATGATCCCCCATGTTTGTCTGCCCAATGAAACTACAGGAATTTACAATTCTTCTTTAATGTAGACGTTTCTGTTACAATGGTGACCCTCAGTACATGCCTTTTTGGCAATATTTTATTTATCTGTCTTCCAGGTGACACTTCGTTTTTTTTTCATTTTCAGATTCCTATATATTGTGTTCCTACAATAGTCTGAAAGATTTGTAACATGCCTAGATTGCGCGAAACCATCATTCCAAATTTTAAGCTGGCAGAACGCCACGCTCTTCCGTCGTTCGGAAAACGCCAAAAGCCCTTCAAAAATCGACAGATAACCTCATACAGGAATGCCTTCCGCAGGCGGTCCTGGGTTATGCTGGTTTTGCGTGGCACCATCTTAACATTTGGAATGATGACTTCGCGCAATCTCGGCATGTTACGGACCTTTCAGGCGATTGTAGTATCACGTGTATAGGAATCAGACGTTGAAAAGGAAAAACGAACGAAGTACCATCTGGAAGACAGATAAATAAAATATTGTCGTAAAAGCGTCATGCACTGAAAAAGGTCACCGTTGTACCTGAAACGTGTACATTAGAGATAAAATTTATAGATGCGGTTTCATTGGCCAGACAAACTTGGGAAATTTTCTATTTGTCTTAGATATCTGAAGTAAAAGGACGTTAAGCATAATTTTGGTCGTGTATTGCCAATTTGAACAATGTTTTGCTCAGTCCTGTTATCAGCAAGTCAAACAGATGGTAACAGAAAGTGCTTACCTTACCGTACCGTACTGTATTCGCCATGTAGAGTTATTATGTAGCATAATCCCTCTTTTTCCGTACTGTTTTTTTCTTATTTAAATGCCGATCTCATTCGAAGAATATTTTTGTATTGTCAATATTAGTTATTAAGATTAAAAAAGCCTTCGTTTGATCAGTTCGTGTGAATTCAAGGTTATATTTACTTATTATGAACGCAATCCGCCTGATGTTTCTGCGGAACGTGTGATCACACCTTTAAAAAAGTAGTGGACGCGTTGGAGCTGAAACAAGGCAATTCTGGGGGTGAAAACCCTGTATATCAATTATATTATATGCCTTTTTGTATTTATATAAAGCTTTAGTTTTATACAGTTTAAATTTTGTGCACTGTATATGTTGAACAGTATTAAAAATATTCAGAACAAAACACTGTTTTATTTAATCTGTGAAGAACATTCCTCTGCTGTCATTTGGTTTTTCTGTCAGCCATTACACATTCTTAAATTTTCTACTAGGATAACAGAAGCAGCGAGAGGTGTTAGTGCTATTAGTTCGAATGATTTAAATTCCTCGCCAGTCGTTCTTTCTATACCTTCTCGTGTTCTACGATCCTAGCAGCAAAAGATGCAATCTGATGATCTGTTTGAGGAAGCCTTATTGGTTGTACAATTATCATCCACTAAAATTCTGTATCAGGATAAGAGTAGCAGGAAAGGTTCTTCGCGCCATCGATTCGAATTTTGCGTCAGCCGTTTATCAAAAGTAAAGTACCCACCTTCTCGCGTTTCTGCGATCCTGGTATGAGATTCAAAACAATAAAACGATTTGTTGAAAAGCCACACTCGATGTATAGTTTTCAACTAGAACAAATTCTGTACCAGGATAGCAGAAGCAGTCAGAGGTTTTAGTGCCCATATGAATTCTGCAACATTCGCTCAGAAGTAAAGCGCCCACCTTCTCGCGCTTCTGCGATCCTGATAGCAGATTCAATACAATAAAACGATTGGTTGAAAAGCCACACTCGATGTATGGTTTTTCAGTTAGTTCAAATTTTGTACCAGGGTAGCAGAAGCAGCGAAGAGGTTTTAGCGCTAATACAAGTTCTGCGTCATTCATTCAACTGAAGTAAAGCACCCACCTTCTCGCGTTTCTGCGATCCTGGTATCAAATTCTAAACAATAAAACGATTTGTTAAAAAGCCTCACTCGATATATGGCTTTCCGCTAGTGAAAAATTCTGTACAAGGATAGCAGAAGCAATGAAGAGGTTTAGTGCCGATATGCATTCTTTGTCATTCGCTCATCAGAAGTAAAGCACCCACCTTCTCGCGTTTCTGCGATCCTGGTATCAGATTCAGAACAATAAAACGATTTGATGAAAAGCCACACTCGATGTGTGGTTTTCAACTAGTACAATCTGCGCCATGCATTCATCAGAGGCAAAGCACAATACTACCTCCTCGCGATTCTGGTAGCAGATTGCTTGCTCGTAAATTGAAAACGCCTCACTCGATATATGGTTTTCAGTTAGTAAAAATTCTGTACCAGGATAGCAGAAGTAGCGAGAGGTTTTAGTGCCGATGTGCATTCTGCGTCATACCCTCATCAGTAGAGCACCCTAATACCTTCTCGCGTTTGTGCGATCCTGGTAGCAGATTTAAAACAATAAAACGATTTGTTGAAAAGCCACACTCGTTGTATGATTTTCAGCTAGTACAAATTCTGTACCAGGATAGCAGAAGCAGCGAAGAGGTTTTAGCGCTAATACGAGTTCTGCGGCATTCATTCAACAGAAGTAAAGCACCCACCTCCTCGCGTTTCTGCGATCCTGGTAGCAGATTCAAAACAATAAAACCATTGGTTGAAAAGCCACTCTCGATGTATGGTTTTCAGTTAGTTTAAATTTTGTACCAGGGTAGCAGAAGCAGCAAAGGGGTTTTAGCACTAATACGAGTTCTGCGTCATTCATTCAACAGAAGTAAAGCACCAACCTTCTCGCGTTTCTGCGATCCTGGTATCAAATTCTAAACAATAAAATGATTTGTTAAAAAGCCTCACTCGATATATGGCTTTCCGCTAGTGAAAAATTCTGTACAAGGATAGCAGAAGCAATGAAGAGGTTTAGTGCCGATATGCATTCTTTGTCATTCGCTCATCAGAAGTAAAGCACCCACCTTCTCGCGTTTCTGCGATCCTGGTATCAGATTCAGAACAATAAAACGATTTGATGAAAAGCCACACTCGATGTGTGGTTTTCAACTAGTACAATCTGCGCCATGCATTCATCAGAGGCAAAGCACAATACTACCTCCTCGCGATTCTGGTAGCAGATTGCTTGCTCGTAAATTGATTTGTGAAAACGCCTCACTCGATATATGGTTTTCAGTTAGTAAAAATTCTGTACCAGGATAGCAGAAGTAGCGAGAGGTTTTAGTGCCGATGTGCATTCTGCGTCATGCCCTCATCAGTAGAGCACCCTAATACCTTCTCGCGTTTGTGCGATCCTGGTAGCAGATTTAAAACAATAAAACGATTTGTTGAAAAGCCACACTCGTTGTATGATTTTCAGCTAGTACAAATTCTGTACCAGGATAGCAGAAGCAGCGAAGAGGTTTTAGCGCTAATACGAGTTCTGCGGCATTCATTCAACAGAAGTAAAGCACCCACCTTCTCGCGTTTCTGCGATCCTGGTATCAAATTCTAAACAATAAAATGATTTGTTGAAAAGCCTCACTCGATGTATGGTTTTCACCTAGTACAAATTCTGTACCAGGTTTGCAGAAGCAGCGAGAGGTCTTAGTGCCGATATTCATTCTGCAATTTGTTGAAAATAAGCCATGCTCGATGTTTTCAGCTGGTACAAATACTCTGCCAGGAAGCAGAAACAGTGAAGAGGTTTTAGTTCTTATAGTTCTGCGTCATTCGTTCATCAGAGACAAAGCACCCTAATACCTTATCGAATTTCTGCGATCCTGGTAGTGGATTAGTTGCTCGTTGAAAAAGCCTCAGTCGATTTGTTTTCAGCTAGTAAACATTCTGTATCAGGACAGCAGAAGTTGCGAGAGCTTTCAGTGGCGATATATATACCGAACCATTCGCTCATCCAGTCGCTAAAGGTTGACTGGATGAGCGATTAGTAACTAGGAGCTTATACCTTCTTGCGATCCTCGCAGCAAATCTGTTTGTTGAACTTTGGCGGGATGTGCGCTTTGCAGGCCGACTGAACTTTGCATCGGAATAGCAGAGGTAGCGACAAGTGTTGTCATTATGGATTTGTATTTCGTGCCAGTCAATTGTTAGGAGCATACTTTAACTCATATCCACACGTTTCTGTCATACTGGTTACAATTGCGTTACTCGAATAACTTGTGAGAACAGTGTGGATGCGCCCAGTAAAAACTTCGTGTCGGGATAACTGGCGACGAGAGGTAATGCACTATTAAATTAATTTCATGCCAGTTGCTCACAAGGAGCATAGCACCATTTGTATGCCACCCCACAAACAGTGTTGGTTAAAGTATTCAAATAAAACACAAAAGTAGAGCCAAACTGTTTTTAATCCATATTTGTTCGACACTGACTACCTAGTTGAAAAAAGCTTCATAATATATAATAAAAAAGATATCTTTGAAACATATTTCGATATCACGGATGAAACATAATAAATATGCCATATCAAAGTTCCTATGCAAGTTTTGAACATATGCTTTGCATGAGGAATCCGTTTTGTGATATAGAGATGATCTCAATTTTTTTAACATAATTGGACAGTTGTAATGACAATTAATAAACACAAAATACAAAAATAAAAAAAACATTTGATACAAAGGAAGAAAAGAGAATACAATGTATATTCTTAACAGTTATTGTCAAATACGAAAATAAATAACGCATATTACGTGTATTTGATGTCATTATTAGATCATCAAAATTTTATTTTTATTTTATTTTTCTTCTTAGATAAAAACGTAAATCGTAAAATAAACCTTGATATTATTTTAAAAATAGTCTTTGTGAACGTATCACTAAAATACATTTATCTACAATCAAAAAAGGGTAGCTAACCAGTGAATCGAAAAATAAGGAAAAGGTATATGCATATAATTTTTGTATATACAGGATATCATTTTTTATTAAACGATTCACGCTGAATTAAGCATAATTTACTTTCAACAAATACCTACCAACAATATTTTTTTTTCAGTTAACAAAAACATTTTGTTAAAAATTTAATATTTCACAAAAAAATAAGTTCCTTTAAATACTTGACATAAGAAAAATAAAAATGTAAGACCTATTAGTGTTGATGGTATAGTTGCAAGTTAAATAAAATGAGTTTCTAAATCAAATTTCAACATAATGTCTTAGGTGGCGATGTATTGCAAATATACCAAATGATCACTAAAACATCTCCAATATTAAAAAGACGTCGCTGAAAATTTTGCATTCTAAATTAACATAGTATATTGCATTCAAACTCAAAAATCCATTTTACTTCGCTTACTTAATGAATCAAATTGGCGAGGTAGTTGGAGAAATAAACTGTTAACAAATATTTTCCTTCCGCTAGATACATTCCAAAATACAAATATTCAATTGACATCACGTAACTAATCAAAACCGAACGTGCAAATTTTAGACTATAGTGTTTGGTGTTTAAAAAATTAGCAATATTAACTATTAGTTGGTATTATCAACAAATGTAATATTGCATACAGGGTATCCCATGTACAGCTTCAGCGATCATTCCTCAAAAAGTACAGTACAACCTCGATAATCCGAATACATGCTAATCCGAAATCGCGATAGTCCGAAATAATTTCGTTCCTCGACAATCCGAAATCGTATTGCGTCATACCTTGATAATCCGAAAAATCGTGTCATAGCCTGTCGAACTTCTCAGTACATAGGCTGTTAGTTTCGAGTGCGGTGCGTTCTTAGTGCCTAGAGTTAATACGCGTTTGAAATATAGTTATAATTCGTGCACCATGTCTAAGAGGAAACACAAGACACTTAGCCTTGCGCAGAAATATGAGATAATTCAGAAATTAGACAACGGACGAAGTCCAGTGCAGCTCGTCGTAGAATATGGAGTTGGGAGGTCAACCATCACAGATATAAAGAAAAAGAAGACCCAAATTGCTGAATACATGAATTCTCATCAACAACAAACAACAAATCTGACTTTGAAGACGGCCAAGCACCCCAATGTAGAGACGGCGTTGTACACGTGGTTCCTGCAGCAGAGGACCAAAAATGTGAACATTTCGGGCGAAATCCTGCATGAAAAGGCGAAATTTTTTTACGAAGAAATTACGGGACTTTGCGGCAAGTTCTGGTTGGTTGGATAATTTTAAAAAGCGGTTTAAAATTCGTCAGTTAACCGTTACGGGAGAAAAACTTTCGAGCAATTTTGCAGCAGTTGATCCATTTCAAAAACTATTTCTAAATAAAGTGCGGGAAATGAATTTGGGTCCGGAACAAGTGTATAATGCCGATGAAAGTGGGCTATTTTGGCGGGCGCTACCCAATAAGACATTAGTACATAAACAGACATAAAGACTCAGCTCCGGGACGAAAGATAAGCAAGGATCGGCTTACTTTCATGCCATGTGCAAATGCATCCGGATCTCACAAATTAAAGCTGTTCACAATTGGAAACGCTGCCAATCCTAGAGTATTTAAAAACTGTCGAAATAAGTTGCCCGTGATTTACAAAAATCAGAGATCTGCTTGGATGAATCAAGAACTTTTCAAGCAATGGTTCCATGAAGAGTTCGTTCCCTCAGTGCAAGCTCATTTAAAGCAAATCGGTTTACCTCCTCGTGCTCTTTTGCTGCTGGACAATGCACCTAGCCATCCCGAACAAAAAGAACTGAGGAGCAGAGATGGTCTAGTCTGTGTCTTATATTTGCCACCAAATTGTACCCCATTGTTGCAGCCGATGGATCAACATGTCATTCAAGCTATTAAAATGCACTACAGGAAGCAGCTTCTTCTTCATTTAATTGCTGATGATACCGAACCTGCAGGAGCATTAAAAAGTTTCAAATTAAAAAATGCAATTTTTAATCTCCACACGTCGTGGGAGAACGTCAGCACTGAATTAATAAAAAAATCATGGAAAAAGCTTTGGCCTTTAAATATCCATGAAAATTTGGGCGATGAATACGATGACGAAGAAGACTTGATGCCATTAGCAGAACTAAGGAGAAGAGCGATATCAGATGAGCGAGAATTTGAAGAAATGACGGTTCTGATGAATGTCATCTCATCAGGACCGGATCTTGCAGCGAATGAAGTTAGAACATGGGCCTTGGGCGACGCAGCTGAAAATGAGCAAATAACATTTTCTGATGAAGATTTGGTAAACATTGCATTAAGCGGCAACAACGATGACACCCCTGAAGACGCTGAAGATTATGAAAATTTAGCAGTTGTGAGTCACGGTGAAGCCGTGCGATGTTTTACTACTTGCATAGAGTGGGCGACAGAGAACAGTGTAAGCGGTCCAGAACTGCTAATTCTTCGCCAGTTACAGGAAAAAGCAGTGAATTTACGCTTTAAGGCGCATAAGCAAACTGTAATAACTGATTTCTTTACCCAATAGATTTATGTATACATAATTATGTATGTACTGTACTCATATAAATACATATGAATGTTAATTTAAGTTTTTTTGAAGGAGAAAGTTTAATTTTGTTTTACGTGCAGTATTTAACTGACCACTGTCCTTGGTTTGTTAAATTTATGTTTTGTTGAAAAGAATAAAGTTTATTTTTTAATACTTGTGTCTAAATTTATTAGTTTCACTAGTTTCACGATAATCCGAAAATTTGATAATCCGAATGCTCGGTGGTCCGAATCTATTCGGATTAACGAGGTTGTACTGTAAATTGTTTACAAAATAGTGGCCCTTTTTCATCTGTATTACGTAATTTAAAAAGTGATATATCGATTATGGAGTGAAAAAGCAATATTTCCTTATATCTCGGAAATACTATTAGTAGACAACCTTATACAAAATTAACCTCATTTTAAATGTTTAATACAATGAAATTATAGAGCTGTACTATATTTGAAAAAAATAAATGTTTGGGTTTTATTTTAATATAATCTTCATTTTCTTTTTTTTGACTGCCCTGCTCTATTTGTTATCCAAATCTCGAATAAAACCTACTAAAGTTGAACCCTATAAAAAACATGTTACATGGCAAATACAAAAATACCAGAAAAATGCTATAATTCAATGGTCCGTAATTGTCATTTTTTACCTAAATTTGGGACATTATACTGGATGTTTTATTTAAGATGAGTTGGTATCTGCTTCAGGTTCAACCGGAGGTGCCACCATTTTGATATTTTGGCTGAATTGCTCCCATCAGTTATACTATAAATTTTCATAACGTTCTCTCTCTCTCTCTCTCTCTCTCTGCTTTCTGAGTAATCGATTCGCTGCAACTGTACGTGGGATACCTGTGTAAACAGATCTAGAAAAGACTCACCCAACATTAGAGCCACTAACTTTGGTTGTTCTCATAAATGTTGAACAGTTTACTAAACATGAGTGTTTGAGCTTGAAAACGATATACAGGAGTTTTATAAAAACGCCTCATAAACTGTGGCTGTTTCTGCAAATTTTTTGATTGTTAATTGTGGTGTAACGGTACTAACAAATGTTAAATAATATGCTATGAAATAACATCTAAAAATAAGAAAACAGTGAACAGAGGAGACTGGAAATTTTACTGACAGTCAGCCAAGCACATCCAGTAATTAAGGAAAACACTACAAAAGGTGAAGAGATGCTTGGGTTTTTTTTTGTTTCGTTTTAAGGGAGCCTGTTCTTCCATAACAAAAAAAATTGTCCGTTTTTTTCCAAAACCCTAGAAACAGCTACAACTTAAAAACTGAAGCTTCAACCATTTATCTTTATTTGCACCTAACTGTATGGATCGCAGATATAATCCGCCAGAGCCTTGGCATCTTTGAGTCTTAAGAATCTGCCCCAGTGCCTCTCAAACACTTCTTTGGGCACCAATTCGATAGGTTCTGGGACCGCTCTTCCTCTACCTTCTGCTTGGCTCGCCCAACTGCTAAGGAAAGCACGCCACTCTTCTAGTTGCTTTGTGGTGGGGATCTCGGAGGCTGTCAAATATTCGACACGATGTAGAAGGCAGACTAATGCTGACAGACCAAACTGAAAAGAAAACGTGAGATTTCAAATCTCGTAGAAATTTGCCGAATGTTATTTTTATGAACACTTGTTATGGTGGTAATGGCGCGACAGCAGGTGGTAAAAGGAGGTAGATAAAGATCGGTCATTTTTCTTCCGTCGGCAAATTCTTAACACATTATTGTAACGCCCTCGCATAACTGGGTTCTTGGGTGGCATGGAACGGTATCGCGATGTTGACGTTAAACAACCATAGTTGCGTGACCGGGCGACAGCGCTTGCTGTCTTGGCCGAGGTTCAAGAATAATCGAGACCCGTCTGGGGGCATCTGCTGCCATGCTACTTCTATGGGAGTTCATGACTCTACCTGAAGAATGTTTCTCGACCTGTCGATAGGGAGTAAATACCCGACCAGATGCCGGAAAAGGGAGTCAGAGTCGAATAAGCAGACACAATCGACAGCGGGCGATGAGTCACCACAAATTAGTACAAGTGTTATAAATTAATGTAAAAATAATAGCTTTGGATAGTAAAAACGGTGTTTTCGTTACATTATTTTCTAATATGACTGCCTAGTCGAAGTGAAAATGTTTTTATTACGCAAGGAAAACAACAAAATAATATTTAAAAAGTACCAAAATATTTGCAAAACATTATTGGGGTTGAGGAGAAGTTCTAACGATTTTGAAGTGAAAAGTTAACCCAAGTAACCTGGAAAAACATTTATTTAATTAAGAATATGTCGACGATTTAATTCAAAAACCTCACTAACATTTTGGATTTGTCAAAATGCTCTTTGCCTAAAACTCGATTTGTATTAAAAAAATGCTAATGGTAGTTTCGGCTAGTCCCAATTGAGACAAACATTTATCCACAGTGCCATTAACAATCGAAATCAGTAAGCTCTGGGTGTGCCAATTATTTACAGTCGGTGCCATACATACTACTTCCGAACGAAAGATTTGCAATTTTGTTTTTGTGGGAAAAGTACGAGATCAGACCCTGTCATGAAGTACGATTACAACTTTTTTGTTCCCTAATGCGGACCGCTTCTCCTGGAATGCAATAAACAATTTATCGAATAAAGTATATAGTGCTTTTTCGAGTTATTATCTAACTCTACGGAAGTATTCCAAGACAGAGAGCGCCTTTGTTATTCCACCACAAACACATAGTATCACTATCACAGATGGGTGACAATATACACTCCAAATCACCAATCATATTCTTCAAACCTAGCGCCAATCGATTTTCATTTGTTTCGCACTCTGCGGGGCAATTTTGATGGTCAAAGGTTCGAATCAATAATAGTTATTCTACAGTGTCTTTTTATGGTCGACTAAAAATTAACTAACTACATCTTGATGAAGTGAATTATTGCAACGTTTTTCTTATTTAGAATAATAATTTTATAGCCGCTCTTAAAAATATCGAATGTTATTTTTAGTAATAAAACACTTCGCCTGGTCTAATAATCTTGTGGTAGAAAATCGTACTCTACTCTCCATCTCGTTGGAGGTCATTTTTTATAATTTCTGTCGACCGTCGAGAGCTGAAGGTGACTTGGTGTGTTTTTTTTGTCGGAGCCTTTTTCTCACCCTCTTGAGGATTTAGCCGTCGAATATCGAGCTGGTAAGTGACCATTTTCTCCAAGCTACGTGTCATTTCATCAACATGATTTCTAATTCTATAGAAGGGAACCGTCTGCAGGGATAATCCGAGGTGAATTTAAGCAGGACTCGCGCCTGTGAGGAGCAGTTCCCAATTTTTGTGAACCCTCATTGTTCGAGGTTTAGGCGTTCTTATGTAACATTAGGGTTATACTTTAACCATTTAATTATCCATTGTTCAGGTCAATATGGTATTCGTCAAAAACTATGAATTCATCAAATTCATAGTAGTAACAAGGAAGAAATGTTTTGGATTTTTCATTGGTAACATTTATATATTGTTTTGTATTATAGTACATACACAGAATAATGTAGTGTTATTTTTACATGACGGTAGCTTCTGATATTGGTTGTATATTTACTGAAATTCGAGTAAGCCATGCTCACAAGGTCAAATATTTATGTGGTTCTTAGTAACATTTTAATTGCTTTACTTATAAGCTGAAGGAGTACATGGAATATTCTACCTCCGGGTCCTTAGGTTTTTTTTACACTTATCTGATTATGTTAGTTTAGTTCAGGTTAATGTAAAAATTTGGGTATTGCTAGTACAATCACCCTCGACTAAATGGCTCCATGCTAAAGTTGATTTTTTAATTCTTGGAAGCAAATTCAAAGGGGGATTAGTAGTCAAATCGTGATTTTGAGTTATTTTTTAACAAGTATTTTTTTCTATTTAGGGTTTTGCCTTCCGATTCTACCTTTGAGTTCTACATTCAGGTTACATCTGGGACTTCCTGCTCTCGGTTGCCTAACGTTAATAGTCAAGCACCTGCATAGGTGGTTTTTCTTTTTATTTTATTATTTACCGGAAACCATTTATCTAGGGGGGTAATGCAAAATAATTTTCTTAGCCTGCCATCCAGGACTTCCCTTTATGTTTTTTTTATTTTTTTGTTCAATAAATGTATGTGTGCCTTGTGGGTTTGTGTCTACTTAGCTAAAAAGACCCAATATTAAGGATTTTTTCGCGAGTCCACGGTGTAGCACAGAGCACTACCGGGAACCGATACTCAAATTTTCACGAAGAACAGGAATAGGGGAAGACGGATGTGACGTCCCCCGAATTTCAAAAAATCACGTGGTACGGGTACCCGCCTAACGTCTGTGAGCTGCTAGCGGGTGACAGGTCTTATGTCAATGTCATTTAAAAAACAGGCATCTGAATTGAAAATTTGTCTTCGCAGTGCCTAAAATTGAGTTAAACTATTAAATCATAAATGGAGGAACACGTCCACCTGATTTTAAATGACGAGGGAGAAGGTCATCGAAGATATATGAATCGCACTTGTCATATCAAATGATTGATTTTATTGATATATATGTACATTGCACAAAAAACGATCGGTTTATTTATTTCAGATTCAAACAAGGCAGCTAAGTTTATCAAGGAGCTCAAAGCAAACATTTTGGGCAACAAGCGCCATCTAAACACTCCTGTAACTTGAAACTGTCAAAACTTCGAGAGAAAGGGGAAATTCCATCTGTTCCCGCTCCGGTTCACTACGGGATCTCGCGAAAAAATCTCTATTGTTACTTGTTATTTCATTTCCTAGTTATTGAGACTAGATGGCGCCCAAACCGCAACCGCTTTGCATTCAAGGTCGCATATCTACCGACTAACTTTGTTTCCGCAGGATAACAACCACCTCTTTAACTGTTTTGAAAAAGTCCCTGGAGTTGTACGTAAGCGGCATTTAATGAATCCGAAATGTTGGAGAGAGGTTATAGAAATCGATGGCTTATATAATGTGAACCAAGTACGTATGTATTTTTAAGTATTGATACTTTGGTTAACTTTTCAGTTGAAAATTCATTCGCAGATTTCTCCAACACAATGTTTCTCACTTGCATTCATTGACTGGATACACCATCCAGTATAGCAGCATCTTCAAGTGTATCAGCATATTCAAAACTTAATGTTATGATTTGATTACTAAATAAATACTGCACGAGGCGTGTATATATATGCTATTCTGTAAGCTTATTTATTCTTATGTTAGAAAAGAACAAAATATTGTAGTGGTAAGCGCGCCTACAATCATTTTGTTCAAAATAAAAGTAAAAAAATAAATGAAATAAATAAACTTGCCAAGTTTGAAGAGTTTTCCTTGATATTTGACTATTTTATTGTTTATTAATTTATTGTAGATGTAAATGAAGATACTTAAACTTAACATAAATATGAACAATGGCCTAAGTTGAAACTTTCAGTTTCCACAAATATGAAGGCCGATCTTTGCCCCCTTTCTCCTCAATCGCCGGCCGCACAACCACATATGCGTTTAGCAACAAAATCGCACTTCACCTGGTCTGTACTTGACCCATACCGAGCGCTTTAATACGATAGCAACTCATTTTGATAAGTAATTCAAAATTTAACTTGCGGATAGCCTACTCATTCTGCAGCAACTTTTTAGCATTTCAAGAAGACGATGGATTTCAGAAATTTTAAAGTAACGTTTTGATAGTACTAAAGCTTTATATTTTTTAAATATGTCTATAAATGTATGTAAAATATAAGGTTTCTCACTACAGTTCATGGAAATATCAAAGGGATTATCTCAGGAATAAAACGATCGAATTAATTCAAACATGATAAAATCTGGACCCAACTGAGAACTGGCAATGGTGCAAATATTTCTCTGAATTGTTTATAACCTCAAATCAAGTCCGTCATCCGCTAGGTGGAGCTATCATCGCGCACCCAACGAATTCATTAAGATCGGAAAAGCTTTCCTCTTAGATCATTGTGGATATTCTCGCTACTGCCAGAACGAAGGAGCTTGTACTACCCAATTTTAGATGCAAACAACTCTGCTGAGTTGGAACATGAAACATGTTTGATCATGCAAAATGAAACCATACGAGATCTGTAAATAAAGTGGTGTGACTGATTGCTTCCATGACCTCGTACTCGGGTTGCTAGGCAACGAGGTGCTTTTATCTCTTTCTAACACACGTATTGCACGCTTCACGCGCTTCTCTCTCGTACACACTACGACGTAAATGTCTCCCTCAAAATAACTTCCTTCTGAAGCCACACGGCGCTGGAGACGGTTCTTCCACTCCTCATAGCAGTGCTGGAATTCCGATACGGGAATAGCCTGGTCGGTTACAGCCGTTTGAATGTTTTCAACTGACCCAAGATGAGTTCCCTCGAGGTGAGTTTTCAACATCGGGAAGATAAGTCTCAAGGACTCAAGTCAGGCGAATAAGGAGGCTGAGGAGCCACAGGAATGTTTTTACTGGCCAAGAACTGTTTACACCCAGTTGTTCTTGATCTGATGAACGGTGATGTGAGTCAAATTTAACTATTCCCCGAACATTCTGACTGCCAACCGACGATCTGAATGCACAAGATCTCAGATTCTGTCGATATTTTCATCGGTTCTTGAAGATGAAGGCCTGCCGCTTCGTGGTTCATCTTCAATCGACTCTCTTCCTTCTGAAAATGCCTTAAACCACCGAAAAACCTATGCTCTTGACAAAACGTCGTAGGCCTGCTGAAGTTCAGCTAGAGTTTCCATTGCGCTGTACCCAAGTCTGAAGCAAAACCTGATAGCACACCGTTGTTCGAAATTGATGTCATTCATTTTTAGAGCATATTAGGAAAAACGGTTTCAAGAAAAAATCGCGAAGGACAACCAAATGACGCTAGCAAGTTCAAACTTGTACTAAAGGCGGATCGTATGTTCCCCGTCACCCCTCCAAGCTCGGCGCCTCCACTGTTGCCAGATCGAACGCTACGTTGCCAGTCTCATTACTTAATTTACAGGCCTCGTACATTCAACAGAATCGATATTAAAATCTACTTACCACATTCGAAACGACGAAATATAAGGGTGGTTTTCCAACATGACTTAACGGCGTACTGCGACTATTTTCTTGCTTTACAACTTCTGTTAGTCCAGATATCATTTCAAGTATGTCAGCCATGGAGATATTCGTTACATATCTAAAAATATCGCTTGGTTTAACTCACCTTTGAACCTTGATAAAAACATTTGAAATTTTACATTCAATACTATCGCAGTCTACCTTTTGAAAGATGGATACAACTTAGGTAAAATATTGTCGCCAGCAGTGTCTCTCCTTCCGGCTACTGGTAAACTTAGCAAAACTTTACTCCAGAGATCCAAGAGATGGGTTGGAAATTTTTCCGGTGTTAAATGCGGTAAAAGCCTCAATATCAACATCTGAAAATGTATAAACGCACAATTATGCAAGAAAACAACTAGAAAAATACGTTTTCAACTGCGAATTATTCTTACGAATAAGAACAATTCGCGTTAGCTTATAGGATAAAAGAAGTCTAGTTCATATTAACAATTTTATAGTTTTGAAACTAGATCGTATCACAGCTATGTGTGTACGCTTTTTGATCATATCAAAATGGAAGAAAAATATACCTTTCCCTTCCTAATATTTAGAAAACTAGAGAACTTTTCCTCTTGTAACAGCCCTTGCAATATTCTGCCGATATATTCCTCGTGATGCTCCACGATTGGTTCACTCTCTAATTTGAACAGCCTTAAAACTTCTTGCTTTTGTTCGGGAGTAGGTGCTAGTTCTAACTCTCTCAACCTGAAAATCGAATTATATTAAGTGATATGAAAATGTCAAAAAATTTTACAAATTAAAATCTTGCGGTTCCGTCTTCTTCATAGAAGGTTGGCTACAATTTCGGCAATTCGCTCCCGGTTTTGAGCGATTCCTAAAAGTGATGTGAATTAAGGCCAGTCTAGTTTCTTACATGCTTGAGATATGAACAATGACTTATACTCTGACCCCTTCTTCCTTCAATCTTGATCTTATACGTCTACAGATTTTAACAAAATTATGTCTGCTCTTCAAGGATAGAGTGGAGTTGGTTAATAAATGTTTCATCCTGAGAAATTTATTGCATTTTCGATCCGACAAACAATTTCTCTTTCGGGATTCAGATCTCTCATTATCCGGCACCCTAGGTACTTGAATTGTTGTACCTCTTGTATGTTTTTTTTTTAGTATATCAGTGTCATCTACTCATCTAATATTGTTTACGCACATCCCCTTTCCGTTTATTCATTCTTGAATTTTGTGAGGGCGTTCTGAAGTATCTTTTCCGAATACAAGTTAAGGAGTTTTGGAGAAGAAAGTATGCAGCCTTGTCTCACTCTTCTTCTGAGGGGAGTGCTATTGACGAGATCATTTTCAATTTTTACGGGTGCTGTTTGCTCGCAGAATACATTTTTTATCAAACATCACTTATGTAGACAAGTTCATAAAGCAACTTTTATCAGTGTTACATGACTTCCCCGAACAAAAGCTTTCTCACACTCGATGAAACATAAATAAGCTTTTTGAAGTTGATGTCCATACTTTTGAAGTAATACAGTGTACTCGAAGAGTGCTTCTCTGGTACCAAAGCCCAAATGGAAACCAAATTGCTCTTCTCATACATTTTGTTTGTACCTTCTGTATATATGTTGATGTATGATTCTTAACATGACCTTTAGTATGTGGCTTATTAGACTAATCAGTCTATATTCTGAGCAGTTTCTTGCTCCACTCTTTTCAGGCATAGGTATGAAAGTAGAGTGGTACCAGTCACTTGGAAACATTCCTGAGCGATATATCTGATTTAGAAACTTTCTTAGAAAGCAAAAACCTTCATCATCTAACTATTCAAGTATCTCAATATATACGTTATCTTCACCGTCTTTCTATAAGTTTATTGAATGCTTTACTTCTGATAAAAGAACTTTGATTAACTGGTCCTCCTGATCTGTTAGTACGAGTGTTGGTTCTGCTCTTGTATATACTTGGTCCATATTAATTCCATAGTTCGTTATTGTCCGTGGTTAAGATGCCTTTCCTTTCTAGTTGCTGCTTCCTCGTTTACTTTCTTGTGTACGTTAAATTAAAATACATTTCAATAAAAGTATTTTTCAGATGAAGGAAATAAGCTCTCCAGCTCAGTGGCATGCTCCTAATGAACACATCTACATATACAGTAGTGTCGGAAGTGAGAGATGTTCTTGAGAGTTCAAGGACTTAGCCAGTCACCTCTCCTTGCTCAAGTACTCGAATCAGGTCTGTGCTATTATTTACAAATTTTACAGCAGTGGTCAACATGGGGAGTCTACTCATTTGGGAGAATAAGAAACAAAGAGGTGTTATCAGATGATAACCTGAATCAGCTGACATTGTTCCATAAGAAATGGCAGAATATCCGGTATACTGACACTTGAAGTCAAATTTAATTTTCCCTCTGCCGCAGCCCAATAAAGTGGCGGCTTTTGACAGGTATGACTGTTTGCTGTTGATGACGTTATAATATCTTCCACAAACCAATAGAAATGTGGACCATAAAATTATACAACAGCTAAAGATTTATTGAAAGCACATCTGAAAATCCGGACAATTCAGTAACCCAGGTTAGGGCAGGGGTATTACGTAACTTGAAAAGTGACATTGTAACGTTTTTTTGACATTATGTAGGTTTTTTTACAAAACGTCAACTTGGAACTAGCTGTCGTTCACTTAATGCTCACTTGAAGCAAGCGCGGAGCGGAATGAATATTGGCACACAACCTTCTTAGTCAACAACTAGACATTTTATGTTTTTTTTTACATTACACAGGTTGTTTACGTAATAACTCTGCCAGTCCCGCACTGGTATTGTGTAAAACTATAAAATGTCATCTTGCAGACTAGGTAGTTTTTAGGGTGCAGTCATTCCACGTTTGCTCACTAGGATCGTTGTGAGCGTCCATCTATGGAGGAATGACTCAACTACACGCATTGTTGAATGCATATGTTTTGAGAAGCCGAGTAGTCTGTAGTTTTCATCTTTAAGAAGAAAGTTGCTTGAATAGCAAGATCGCATCTGGATGATTATACCAATACACGGTCTGCATGTGTATAAAATCAGTGATACTTGCTGTGTGAGAAAATCATTAATGAATCATGCTGCCAATGAAGCATATTTATTAGCTGTGCCCGACCAGTTATTTATATGTTGTCCTTTCTGAAGACATGTTATGTTCAAAGTAACAAATTAGGATTTTTTACATATTTTGTGTTTTCAAAAACTTTAAGGAGAATTAGGGAAAACCACAACCGCGCCCGTGTTGTATCTAATTACTGTTAGCATGTATATGACTTGTAATTCGACAGTGTTCAGTGAATATAATTATTTATCTCTGTCATTTTTTAAATAAAGTAAATTTGCAATATGTAATTTGCAGAATGGATGAGAAAAAGTGGATGCGCAACTAATTTCTAGCTTTGAGTCTCAAGTAAGTGTAGTTGACACAAGAATCCAATGGAATTATCAACACACTATTAGCACATAAATCCTTACTAGGCACCTTCTTTTATTAGCCTCTTTTTTTTGTTAGTATTATTTGTGCGGTATTATGTTACAGCGTTTTAATCATTCTTATTTTAATACCATTTTATCTTACGATATACTATATATATATATATATATATATATATACAGGGTGACTTCGAAGTTGAGTCATTTATTTTAACAGTGAGTAGATCTGATCAAAAGAAATGTTTTTTTCCTTTACCATTTTTCTGGTAAAATTAAAGTAACAAAGTTATAGCCCTTTGGAAGTTTGAGTACCGCCCTGTCTCAATAATAATATTATGTGCTCGTGTTTGGCGACAACGGATATAATGCGCCTTATCGGTTCATCGCATCGGAAACAAAAAAGCGAAAGAATTTGGAACGATGTTTTTACAATTATTTCATTCAATTGTATACACTATACTGTCAGTGTCAGTCGGTAGTGAATAGTGGTTTCTGTTGCGTGGCTCAAACGAAATAAAAAATGGCACATGTTTATGCGGATCGGTTTCCCAATCGAGTGCAACCAACCCCTCGTGCCTTTGTTAATGTAGTACAACGGGTTCGTGAATCATTTGACTTAAGACCTCACATATGGACGGCATGCCGGTGCTCCAAGACCTCACGATCAAATACAGGTCCGCACTGAAATACTTGTTGGGAGGATACTTTATAAAACGAGGTAATTTTTTTTTTTATTTTTACACACATTTTTTGGTTTAAACAAGGCGTTGAAGTTGCTATCGCCTAAAGCCCTGACATATATGGTGACAATAATCAATGCGACGCTCAGAATCCAGTACTTCCCTGCTGGATGGAAGACTGCTGAGGTCATCATGATTCCAAAGAAGGTAGGTTCGATATTTCCTCAGGATTACCTATTACCCATAAGTCTGCCGTCAGCTCCTTCTAAGCTCACCGAAAAGGTGATTTATCGTCACCTTGAGAATTTTCCGTCAAATCACCATGTGATTCCTGGCATACAATTCGGTTTTCGGTCCGAGCATAGCACCGAGCTACAGGCAGTCAGGCTGGTGGAGCATGTAACCAGAGGGTTCACCCTCAGCATGAGTACTGGCATCTTGCTTTTGGATGTCTCAAAAGCCTTTGACAAGGTGTGGCACGCGGGCCTCCTCTATAAACTAATCCAAAAGGGTTTCCCTTTTTGGCTTCTAAAATTACTGAAATCCTTTCTTGAAGGAAGGAAGTTTCGGACCAAAATTAACAATGTTTTTTCAACAACACGGCCGGTACGGGCCGGTGTTCCTCGGGGTTCGGTCCTAGGACCAATTCTTTATTCGCTTTTCACCCATAATGTCCCTTGCCCCAGCAACTGTGAAGTCTACGTCTATGTTGACGACACTGCACTTGTCGCCCAGTCGTGTACTGGTGATCTGGTTCACGATGGGTTGCAGAATGCGGTGGACGGAGTTCTAGAGTGGGCGGATCGGTGGCTGATAAAAATTAATCATTCGAAAACGCAGGCTATTTATTGTACCAAAAAACGTCGCGGCCCCTTCAGCAGAGGTTTCTGTTGACGAAAAGCGTGTACCATGGACAAATTCTGCCAAGTATCTCGGTGTCACCCTTGATAAAGGCATGACCTGGCAGAAACATACAGCATCCATAAAAACAAAATTCCAAATTGCGTTTCGGCAACTATATCCTTTGTTATGTAGATCCTCCAAATTGAGTTTGATAAACAAAGTTCGACTATATAAAATGATTATTAGACCAGCCATTACTTATGCATGTGCGGCTTGGTGTTTTCTTGCTAAGACACACATGCAAAGTCTGCAAGTACTGCAAAGCAGAACTTTGCGGACAATTCGCAACGCTCCATGGTATGTCTCAAATGAGACACTACACAGAGACCTTGACATTCCTTACTTGAGGGATTATGTCAAGCTTCAGGCGCAGCGACGTTATAGTCAAGCGGAATCGCACAGCAACCCTCTGTTGCGTGAGTCAGTGGACTACACAGTGGAGCAAGTTCGTAAACACGAATTTTTAGTAAACTCAAAATTACACTCTAACAAAACCGAATCCAAAATTTGTTTAGTTCACCTCAAAATTAATCCGTGTACCAAGTCAAAAAGCCTAGGTGTTTTCTCTTAAACTAAGCACATCTGATTTCTTTGCTCTTCTCCTTTTTTCTTCTCTTTCCCTTTCTATTTTTCCTTGACTTTGTCTTTCTGGGCAACCAGGACTGACAGCTTCGACTAACATACATTAGACAGTGACTAATGGGCAAAGGTCCTACGGACCGCCCAGACAAACAAATGTATGTACATAATGTAGCTTTTCAAGATACGTAATACCAGTGCCGACGCTGCACTGTATGTTGTATTATTTATCAAATTCGGTAGATAAAAATCAAAACCTACCTCTGCTTTTGCTTAATTTCTCTCAATTTATCCATATTAATTACATACAAAGGGTTGCTGATGTCTTCAGCTTTCAGTAATAAGGCATACAAAGCTTCCAATTCCAACAAAAGTTGTTTTGTCTTCCTTGTGTCTCTTGACGTATGGGGCGTATCGTTCTCTTTGTCGCACGTCACGATATCCACGTCGATGATCTTTCTTGGAGCCATCACTGATCCACACTAGAATATGATATAAGACAATCAATACACAATTCTTTTTTTTAATCAACTCAAAAAGTTCATCCACTGGATTTTTTTATTTTTTTGTAAAATGTAAACAAAAGCTATTATCTTTTATATTTGAGTATAGATTTAGTCCCTACCTGCAGCTTTCCTAAAGAATTTTCGAATTGCAAAGGAGTGTAAACTCTAGGCGTCAAAGTATTTTGATTATCCTGTCTGTCGCTATTGCGACGTTGTCTTCTGTTATTGTTAAGATTATAACTTCTATCATTGAGGCTGTCTTTGTTAGATTTATTTTTCCTCTCTTTGAAAACCTGAAAAACAAAAATCCATTGAAAATATTGTTTGATGTGTCCAGAAATTAATTTATAATTCGACTTATGGACATGCAAAATGTCAAGCATATGAATGTCGAAAAATTTTAAAAATGCTCCTAAAGTCCTAAAACTCCACAATTGTTTAGTACATGATTATACTTACAGTGTAATAATAATCGTCAAAATAGGGCGTCCCAGTGTTGAGTTGGAGCATCTGAATGTTGAGCAGCCACTGTTTCTCCCTTGGGGACATCAAGCCTGCGTATTCATCACCTCCTTGCTGGCGATGTTGATCTTCATAATCATACCTAGATACAAACCGACGGCCAAGTGAAAAAATATGCCATTTTGTTAATTGTTAATTTAAGGTATTAAAGTGGAAAATATAAACATTCTGGGAACACTATTACTGAATTAAACATCAAATCCAAGGTAGAGTTGATGTAAACACAGTTTTGCACTGTGCGCGTAATACATGAAAGCTTAAGGATTGGAGAAGGTTAAATTCAGAACCGTACTGCAAACGTCGCATGTCCCGAGGAGTATTCTTAATACTTTTGGTCTGATTGTATCATGCTGTATATAGAGATGAGCAAAATAAGGTTTCAAGAAAATCTGTCTTGGATTTGGATGTCGGTAAGCCATATCGTTTAGATTTCCTCAAATTAGAATGGTAAAAATTATATTAGATCGTCTCACCTGCGCTGCGTCTCGTCACGACTGTCACGCCGAGTCCTCTGTTGATGTTGACGCTGATTGTGTTGTCCTTGTTCCTGTAGTTGATGGTGAGGATGGAGGCGATTTTGAGGAGGTGTAGGTAGAGCTGCACCATGCGGTGGAGGTGGAAAACTGTATGGGTGGCCCTGAAAAACAAGACAATAATAAACAGCTTTTCAAAATATCATTACATATTATGAAATAAGGCTACCTACCGGATTTTTATACGGTTTTCAAAAATGGGCAAAGTGATTATTGGGGAAGCTTTAGGTGTATATATGGTTTTATGTATGAAATATGACCATAATTGTAACCAAAAGTATCAAAACTTTGTCTATAAAAATCATTATCTGGCGCTCGCTGCGAAACCTATCGATGATACACAGCCTACATGTTTATAGTACTCATTATGTCATTATAAACCACAAAAGAAACCGCACTGCGGTTTTTCATTAAAAATTAATGTATTCTTCGCAAAATAAACCATATTTATCTATCTATAAGGATTAAGACACAATAACCAATTTTTATTCAAATTAATCAAGCCAAATAGGAAAACCCTAGTGTTAGGTAGTACAGTGGTCATTGTCTCCGCCTCTGACGTGGTAGACCATGACTCGATTCATCACATTCTTATAAAGGGAATGGATGATCATATAATATAATACTGAAGCTTCCTATAATTACTTTATAACTTTGGAGTATAAATGCACTATTTCAAAATGTCGGACTGGTAGACTATCGATGTTGTGAGTTTGAATCGATTTTAACTCAACAACCAACATCAAAACATTATGGCAGATTAAATCAATTTTCTTCTCCTGGAAGACCCTTCCAAAAGAATATTGTTATAATATACTGTAACGTTTTAGTAGGTTGTGATATAAGCTTGTTAGCAACGCTCAAGCTTGACAGCCCGCCAGTGCGCCATATTGAAAGATAGTAAATTTAAATTCTAGGATTACAAATTATTAATAAAGATTGAAGCTCAAAAAATCGCCTTACCCCAGCCACAATCTTGATATTTTCATTTGTTAAAATATACAAGGTATAATAAATAAACCATATTATACAATATATGCGAGTTCTACAATACATTTACTTAAGATCCACTTATGTAATTTTACTTTCAAGTTAGCTTTGTCAATAAGAATCATGTTATTCTTTAGACAATAAAGCATATCTATCTATCTTGGTGGACACATTAAAAAACAGCCCCAAATGTTGCGAATTTGGGAGAAGTAAACAAACTCGTGCTTTTGAATCGAACAGCGACAGCAGTAATTACAAAAGCGATTGTTTCTGAAACGGAAAGTTCCAACTTAATTTACTTTCGAATATTTGAAGGAAAGGAAATAAAATATATACATTAAAAACACTAGCACAAGGTGAAATGAAGGATTTCTGTAGAATCAACCGCTAAAGTCATATTTATGCATGCGAATTGTGTCTGATGGAAATCTGTACCATATAGGCTGTTCGACATCTTAAAAATTAAAGTTGTCTAATATGATGATACACAGAAACAAACAAACTTTTATGAAAAATAAACTGAATTAAAACATGTTTTGAATGTAGAATTTTTGTTATTAATGGTAATGATTAAAAACAATAGACCTAACTTGTATTGTTAGATAACAGAATTTTTTCTAGGTTTGCTAAACCACTGTTTCTATTCAGTTGATGAGCACAATGATGGTATGACGTCATTGGGATAGCATATAAAATAATTTATAGTTTAGCTTGTCGGGCCTCACTTGTATGTGATTGTATATAATGTGGTTAATACATAGTATGGTATAATTACACTAATATTATTTTACACATTCAGAAATCTTAAAAAGAATCTGTAAATGATTACAGCAAATTTGCTCTCGTTCCCCGACATAACGATATTTATTAAAGATCGTTTCTCGTCCATTTCAGGTGACACGATTCACAGGATATAAAATAATGTCAATTATAAAACATACTTGCATTACAATTGTAGCCATTGTTTTTACCAACAAAAACAATATATATGATTCTTCAAAAACAATATAGTACCATTTGATATCACAACGATAACTTCGCAGTTGAAACACGATTTACCAGTTCAGAGTTTTTATGAAAATGGAAAAACTGAAATATCCTTGAAGTAAAAACATACTAGAAAAGGCAAGCAGACAAAAAGATTGAATAAAAACGGCCCGTTAATAATATTTATTTACGGGGTTATGAATTTATGAAAATGTGGCAACGATGATTGTGATATCAATTTCAATATTGCTAGCAATCTAATGATGATGACAGGAATTTTTCTGTGCAGTGAATAGGTACAGAAACAAGATTTTTTTTCACAACCAAACAACAATTCGACTAAGGATTCTTTAAAGTTTTTAGTAACTATGTAAAATCTTCATTTCATAGGAAACTGAGTTTATAAATTAATAATAATAAAAAAATACCCTAATCAAGCGGACTAGGTATTTTTAATACGCTAAAATAAATGTATTAGAAAGGCTCACAACTTATACGCAGAAGTATGTCCTAGGATGTGCAGCAAATTTAGTGAGTAATTTTGTCCAACATACTCAAACCCCATCAGGTATTTATTTATCCAGCTATTGAAAATAAATTCGTCATACGTCTGCGTCTTAAACGTAATTGTATCAATATTATGGGTAAGTAATGTCACACCATCAGTATTTACTGTGGTCCGTACCACCAGTATTTACTGGTCAGTGTGGGTGGATTTCTAAGTGTCCTACCAAATAATTATTGAAGTCCTGGAAACACAGTCAATAAATATCAGATTCCATGATAAATATGAATAGATCACAGTAAATACTGACCGTGTGACATATGCCTAAGATACACAAATCTATAAACAATAGATAGTTTTATATTTAAGAACGAATCAAATAAAAATCAAGAAAAACGTAATACAACAACAATATTTTAGCATTTTTCTTCATTTAACTGGATCAGTTTATAAAGCATATCCCCAGTATCAAACTTCTATTAGAATGCTAAAAGCCCTACTCAATGTATACAGACGAAAATAGTAACTATTTTTTGTGATTATTCCGCTGCTATTTAATGATTTCCCAAACCTACAAAAAAATGTATCTCCCTACTGTGAAGATTTCATCAAAATTCAAGTTTTAATTTCCAGGGTTAACTGATCTAAATCATTTGATTTAAACCATGATTTAGAGCAATGATTTTTGATAAAAATGAGTATTTAAATCAATCTCAATTTTTTCAGGAAAGTTCAGGGTTCAGAGTAATAATAATCAAATCAACTACATAAAAGAAAAATATCTCTTCAAATGGTATATCAAATTATTAATGAATAAGAAAGTTTGATGCTCAACTGTGATTTCCACCAGTGCAATATTTTTACATTTCTTATCACTACCTCTGCCAGACTGTTATTTGTGACCAGCAAGAGAAGTTCCGAAAATGCTCACTGATGGAACAACCCTTATTGGTAATTTTATTCAATAATCCAAGATTATATCCGTTGAACAACTTATATCAGGAAACAGGGATACTTGATACTAAACAACTTTATTTCTTACATTATTCTAAAAATCATTTAAATTCTTGGCAGCTTAATTATGTACATAATGTAATACCAAACAAAATAAAAACTGTGCAGCGGATGACTATACATAATTATATAGAAAACTAAAACTAGAAAATTCAAACTATATGAATACTTTTTAGAATTAAACAATAATTCTTGCACCAATACGATTTTTTGTATTTTGGCGAATAAATATTATTATTGCATGATTTGCTTTTTATTTTTATTCGAAAAATACTCTGTCAGGAACAAAAAAAAAATGATTTACATCAAACCTGTTAATTCCCGATCTATGAAGGTGTGAATGATTATCGCGCAAATAAAATACTTACAGACCGACGGGAAGAAGTAACACAGAGTTGTACCGAGATAGATTTTTTCGGGAATACTACTTCACCTACAGGTGTCGAAATTTGCAATATCTGATTTTCATTTCATCACGATGTCAAATAGGTTCAAAGAAATTAAAAAGCGCATGCTGGAATATAACTAAAGCTTCAGTATCCTATATGAATCATCCATACTGTCACCATCTGTAAAAATGACTTAGGAGTAAAAAAGTTGAAGAAAACACTGTTCTATGTACAATGGCTGAAACAAAATGTCTAAGCAAAGTTTTGTTTGTTTGGACAATAGTGCTTCTGAATTTGTGATGCCGATAGGTTACTTAAGAAATGAAAGAAGTTTATTTTTCTAGTAATGTTGGTACATTGTGTAAGATGCATATATATTGTTATTAAGTTACATTCTATCAATTTTCTATAAAAATTAAGTATTTTTTAATATACAGTTAATTTTTCTAACCTCACTGTTTATCAAAAGGTTGTTTCAAGTTTAAATTAATATAGTCATGTATTTTTGATTTTATTATATAATTTTAGCACTTAAGTTTGGCGATTCATTGATATTCCACACATGTTTACACCAAGAAACCCATGAGAACCCCCGTAACTTCCAAGATGGACGCCAATCGGAAATTGTTCGCTGATGGGAACCATGGACATTTCATTGATAAAATGGGCAAATATGGTTCTCACTTTAGTTCACAAAATAGTGTGAACAACAGAGACTACAGTCCGACTGATAGCAATTCTGATAGAGACTCTGAATGAGTAAGTCAGACAAATAAATAAATTTGTGGCTTATGATCTCATTGCCGTTTAACTAGGAAGACTATTTTTGCATTAGTTTTACAATTCCACCAAATAATGATTATAGACTATTAATAAGAAATATAATCCATGACATGTCTTTATAGGAGACAAAAAATTAAGTGAATCAAAATATCTGCTAAATAAAAAAGATTAATTCATAATTTATGTAGGGATAGGGGTAGTTTTCACTCATCTCGGACCCTTTCGGGTTATTTGAAAAAGTCAAATATTAGGACGTCTAGCAAAAACACAGCCAAATTTCATTCAAATCGGACTATCGGTTCTTAAAATATCTTAAAAAATGTGTTTTAAAAAGAAAACTTTGATGGCTTCAAGCGAAACGAAGAACTTTTGCATAGAGGTAAATCATGTCCAACTGACTTATTTTGAGTCTAAAAATACGTGGTACTTCCATGTCCACGTAATATTTTGACACCCTTATGGGGAATGAGTTTCTTCAAAACTAAGAAATGTCTTATTTTTTCATGCTGATAAGTGCCAATGGGCACAAAGGTTGAGAGGCTCATCTTCGAGATTTCAAACCTTGAAGGTATCTAAAGTATGTTAAGCACAATATGAGCACTTCTTGACGAGTGAAACTAGCTCGGTGTTAAACCTTTTAAAAGGTAAGTCATGACTGTATGTCAAAAAACTGTAGTACTTAGTTGAGGTACACTTCAATATACAGGGTGTAAACGTTATGATAGTCATTATTTAAATGGGTGATAGAGGGGGTTGAAGGAAGCATAAAGTTTCATATAACATGGGGGTCAAAACGGCATTTTTTAGAGAAAAGCGACTTTAAAGCAAAATAAAATCTTACAACGCCGCAAAGCCAGACGCAAATTTCGATGGAACGCCATGTAAATAAAGATTGAGTTTGTTATTTTTGCCTCTTAGGTATTATTTCATTATTTGATAATGTACTCGTAAAACGCAAACAATTAAAAAAAACGGACTTACCACTAACTGTCTCAGCGCTTCACCTGGTGTGTGAAAGTTTATTGACCGTATTAAAAAAATCCACTTATAAATAGGGAACACAATTTTGATACATACATTGTTTTTCTTTTTAAAACCCGCACTGCACTTTTTTTGTATTTAAAGAAGGTGCTCAAAATGTCGACCTCCACTTTCCACACGAGCTTCATTACGACTTCACGAATGGTACGAGGATTTTCTTGAGCGCACGTATGAGTATTATGGAAATTTAATATCCCGTCTCGCGTAAAAATACATTCGTCTGTCGCTAGAATGTTTTTTAAAAAAACCTGATTTTCAATGTTTTTGTGAAAAAACCACACAGAATGTTAGTCTGCGAGGATAGTCTTCTGGTAACAAGGCCTGCACTCGTTGTACATGGTAGGGATAAAGCAAAATTTCCCGTAGGATTCTATAGACTATGGTATGCGATAGTCCTACGCGGCAGCCTAATTCCCGAGTGCTGATATCTGCATTGATTTCCACGATATTTAAATTCTGTTCCTCCTCTACAGTAACCTGTCTTTCTCGAGTGCGAATATTAGTGGGCTGAATACTTCGTGTATCTCGAAGTCTTTGGTACACTTGCACAAATGTCCTTCTGTCTGGGTGTACCCATTGGCGCAATCTGTCGCGATAAATTTGAGCTGCGAACAAAAACAAAACAACACGCCCAAAGCTATGTAAAACGATAACTAACCACTGTTACCGTTTGCGATCGATTGCTGGTTCAATAAGAGTGATGATGACCGACGCGCTGTTGTCATGTGTGTTTTAAATATTCAATTTAATGAAACTTACTTTCTTACTGACTACAAATTTTGGCTTAACTTAGTAAAACTTAATGCCATTTATTTGTTAATTACCCAATTTAATAATGTTTTAGATTAGATTATAAAAATTAGTAAGATTGTGGTGATTGTGGTCGATATAAAGCATTTAAAGTTGTAAACTATAAAGCCATTTAGACAAAAATCTATTGATTTTTGGACCATGGGTCATATAAACTTTTTGACTTGTTTTGACCCCCCCTATTACCCATTTCAGTAATGACTACCATAACGTTTACACCCTGTATACTTACTACTTTATTTACCAGTCGTGCGTTTTTGATAAAACTCAGCAGGAATGTGGGTGCATATCCCAGATACCATAATAATGAGGATATGTGGACACATCATCCCAGTGTTCTGGATCTGGATTAGATGTGCAACAATAGGTTAAATTGGATCACCATCTTCTTGAGCTTTGATACTTCTAAAGAGTGAACATAATCTTGCTCAAATTAACCTTGGCTCTGCTATACCTAGGCCTAACTGGTGCTATCTCCATCATCCCCTTTGGTCTTGTCCAAAACATATGCTGGGTTTAAACTTGATAGGTAACTGCCAGCAATGAGGAAAACGGGGACGTGCATCTTCATATAGGCGTACCCATCAAACTATCCTAGACCGCAATGCATCATCGATCTCTAGTCTCGTCTGGATAAGATTTGGACAGAAATCGTGATTCTTGAAGTTTCACGGATATTCGGCATTACCTATTAATGAGATGTATATACTTTTTAATGATTTACCGCTGATATTCTAAAAATTTCTTTTAAATTCATGGCATGAATCATCTATAGTTGGTTTTGATTAGCTTCAACATAGTTTTCATGTGCCGGTTTCGCGACTCCACTATTCAACGCGTTTTAGTTGTTAATAGGTATGCCTAGATGAAAATTCACTTTCCAGTTTCCCTCACTTTTTATTGACATATTTAAAAAATATCACTGGTGCTAGTTACCATTTAGCTTAATCTCCGCTCATATTCAAAACAAGATCAGAAGGGACAATAAACATATGTCAGTTAGACCTGAGAATAGCAGAGCCAAGGTTAATTTGAACAAGGTTTCATTCACGCTTCCTACTTTCACAAAACATCAATCCATATCAAACATCAATTATGGATAATCTAAGCAACAGATAATGAAGCTTTTGGGGATGCAGATGAATCTTAATCTACTACTGTATATGGATAACTAGAGCGAGGACACTGGGATGCTGTGCCTGCGCGGCCTCAGTATTATGGTATATGTCATGAGCTTATCACCAACAGACTATTGCCTAACCTCCCAACATTTGTCCTGGATTATATAAAAAGCGCATGACTGGATAGTAAAGTAGTAAGTATATACTCAAGAATGTCTCAACTGTCTACCAACATTTTTTGACTTATTGATTTACCTATCAAACAGATTAATAATGAGCTGATATTACTCGTCAGCAAGTGACCATTGTCCATCAGCATGAAAAAAATGGCGTCATGTTGGTTGACTGCACTTCCCACGCAACGTCCTTATATCAGTACATAAAGGAATATGTTCAGCACAAACTAGACCCTCTTTTGAGTCCTTGGCATAGTGTTTAGTAACATTTTTCAAACATTTCACTGAAATCGACCGGCACTTATCAAGTTATAGGCGGTTATAAGATTAGCGTGCAGACCGATAGACAGACCGACGGCGACGGAAATGAGTGACATGGTTTTTCTTGATGTACGTGTCATATAACATTCAAAAAGCACAATCTCATTTTCGACATTGTTCGCGATTACAATACTTCCCAGCCAGTAGGCGTGGGAAGTAAAAGGAACATATTCTTTGGGTAAAGAGAAAATTCGCCAAACCCCATTTTCCATGGAGCCTCATCCTCTGTTTTACGAAAATGTATCTCAAATTCTGTCATCACCTAATTATAGCTCCTACAATTGTTATCTGTTGTTGCTATTAAATCATAATTAAACAAGAATCACGATTTTAGGGTTTACATAATGCATGTTCAATTTCTCAAAAATAAAGTCAATGTGGCTTAGGTCCCTTGTTACCCCAAGCACTCAATGTGTAATGCAACTCAACAAAAGAACTTCACTACTGCTTCCTTTGATTCATCTTAGTGTGCAAGCATTTTTAGGATACAACCGTTCTTACCTGAGGCAGCCCATGTTGACCTGGATGCATTGGTTGTTGTTGCTGCGGGGGCGGCGGATATCCAAACCCGGGCGGTCGCGGAGGCCCACCCTGCTGGGCAGCCTGGGCTGCCAAGAATCTCGGGTGCATTACACGCATCAACCCCGGGGGCAGTAGACCGGGAGGCGGCATGCCCCCGGTATGGGGTGGCAATGGAAGACCACCGCGCTGGTGGTGGGGATGTGGCGGTAGAAGGGGCGGGATGATGCCCCGCAAGCCAGGTGGTGGAGGTGGCCTGGTGGGCAGGTGCGATGACGGAGCTAGATGCTGGAATTAATGTTTCAGATTTTAAGACAGAGTTTACAGGGTATTTGAGATTAGGAAAAATGTGAAGCTAAAACTAACATTTTTTGCTGATATTCAAAAAGATTGTGTAATCTCCCACATATAAGCTAATAAGCCAAGGGAAAACTTACTTTAGTGTTAACTTCTGTATTCATACAATACTTCTCACACATGCTTTTTGTCCTCAAAAAATTTCATTTTTATAGTAGTAACCTTATTTCAGAATTTCATCAAAAGCAGAATAATACTTTGTCTATAGAGTATGTAGACTATGTAGTGTCTATATACCTATTTCATGATCTACTTTGTCATAAATCAGATAACAAGAATACATTTTCAAATGGATAATAAACTCACCTGCAATAGAGGATGAAAAGGAAATCCTTGAGGTGGTGCATGATGATGTCCTGGAGGTGGCAAAAGAGGCCTGGGAGGTGATTGCTGTTGACTAAGCTGAAGTGGCAAGGTTGATAGTTTTTGCTGGTTAGCCTGTAACCCAGTTATGAAATTCAAAGGTTGCATCGGAATGTAATATTTCAAATAAAGTATTCCAACAAAAGCTGGATGTTTCAAAATAATTGATATGAGAAAAGCTAGATGATCTATGCGAAGTTCCACAGGTGCTAAATGTTAAGCTTCATTATTATAGCAGCATTACTAATCAAGATTGTATGAATAAAACTTACATTTTGTTGCTGACTATATTGCAATTGTTGTTTAGATGACTGTAATAGATTTTTCTCAAGTTCCTCTACAGTACATATCTTCCTGGGTTTTGCTGGCAATGCAGCTAAAGGTGATGAACTGCTTAGATCTGAAGGTGCAAAGGCAGATTTTGAAGATGGTGAGTCTATATGAGTTTCAATCTAAAATCAGTTTTACATTAGCAAATTATATTCACTGAAACAATTATTGAAGATTTTCAAATCATAATACTTACAAATGATTTTGATGCTTTTTGCAATGAAGAGAGTATTGCTGTATTAAAAATATCACCATTTCTGCTAGTTGGAGTATAGGACCACACTGAATCTGATAGAGTATGAGGAGGAGGAGGAGTTTGCTTTTCAGAATCATCTAATACTAATTGAGATATGGAACTTTCTGAAAAATAAACAGAATCTAAAATTTTTATTAAGTATAAATATAGATCAATATACAATAATATGACATCAAAGAAATGTATATATTAATCTTAATAATTCAGTTAACAAATCTACAATAATCACAAATAGTATTTTTTATAACTGTATCTAAAAGTTTCAGATCGTATCTCTCATTACTTATGATGATGAAGTTACTGTGATTACTAGGCAATGTATGATCATAATGAATGTTGTCTCATAACATTATCAAGCACAAAATGCTAACAAACAACTCATAAGAGATGGAAAAAGAAATATAAGAATACCTAGCTTATCTGTATGTTTTGAATTTTCTGCAATTTCAGCATATTGCTCATGCTGCTGTTCCCAATCATCCAAACTTGAAGCATCTTCAAGGGCGCCAAAGGTTTCATCATTTAAGGCATCATATTCCTCTTCATTCTCTAACAGGTCCTCATCATCTGGTACTAAATTGTCCCCATTCTGGAATGATCGTTTATAATTGTTCATCATTACTTCTTTATGACCAACGGGCAAATACCACCTTACAACCCAAATGCTATCATATATATATAAAGGAAAGCAGTCTCAGCAAAGTATCCACAACTTAACCTAGATCAAAATGTAGTGTTATTTTTGGAAGGGCATAACTTCATAACGCGATTAAAATATTCTAACGGATGAAAATTGATAGGTTACCACGTTACTAAGAGCGGAAATACTTATCTAATCTCTTTTGAACTGTTAATTGTGATCGACAAGCTATTCTACATACTGTACAAACGCAGTTCTGTAGACATATACTTACGTTTAGACTTGAATCAAAATCGAAAAAATTATTAGCCATTGGATTTTTCAAATATTTTCAATTCTATCATGATTTTACGCACTAACATGAAAAACACCAAAATATATTCTTTCACTTTTTTTCGTTCAGCTGAGCCAAGTGCCAGCCGCTCAAAAAATGCGGCGTTGTCACAACTGTCAAGTGTCAAGTGCCAGTTATACTTTCACTCATTTATAACCAGTTTTTTAAAATATGGTATGATGAAAGGGATATAAAATCTGTTTGAAAAAATTTGAGGTTGGGCGGTTCCAGTAAGTCGAAACAGTCAATTTTCAGAAATATGTTGGAATTTGAATTCAGTGTACCCTTAATGCGGGTCTCACAAAATGCTTCCAACGTTGTTTACAACGTTCGACACCCCACAATTGGCAAGTGTGTCTCCTACACGATTAGATGAACTTTTTAGTCTCGGACGTTCGACGCATAGTGGTGCCAACGTCTATTATCGGTCTCAGTGTCGCGCTTGAACTTTTACAACTGAAGAAAAATTATACAAAATAAACGATGAAACAATTTTTATGAGCGCCGAAAAATAATTTCAGATCTGTCCTCAGCGATCAAGGCTTAAGTCTGAAAGAAGCCTCAAAAATTTCGAAAAATGATGTTTGACCGTTTTTTGTTTGTTTTTCGACGACAGCTCCACCGCCACTGTACCGATTTTCATTTTCATAGTAGTAACATAGGGTCAAAAATTTCATCAAAATCGTGATAGTACTTTCAGAGTTATCATTTCTTTAATCTTTTTCGTTAGTTATGAAATGCAAGTCAATATATTTCTCAACTAGTCTTGCATTGCAACAGGACATTATAATGAAACAACTGTAAGCACTTGATAATTTATAATTTACTAAAATACATGCATATCTTTAGACCAGCCATAGCTCACCTGCGAAACGTACAAAATATTAGCAATATGAAAAAAGTTTTGTTATGACAGCCTATGTTTTGTATGTATACTAATTGAATTCATTCTTCTCAAAAGTTTGTTACGGAACATACATTATTATGAATAGGTAGGTATTCAAATCAAAATACTTCCCACATTATGATTTATATTATAACGATGGTAGTTTTAATAAAAATGACGGGGTTCTGATTTTCGTAAGACAAAATTTGAACAGTGGCTATGAAATTATTAATATAACTCAACAAAACTTTTACGAGTTATTCTTCAAAAGAATAATAAATGGATACAGATCATTGGTGTGTACAAATCACCTTGTATATCTGTAACAACAACGGTCAATTACATGATTATCTAGAGAGCAGTAGAAAATTTGACATCAACTTATTCATTGGAGACCTTAACATTAACATATTAGATCATAACAATCAAAATATTCAAGATTATTTAAATATAATGGCTGAACATGGTTACCTGTCAGCCATTAACGAAAGGACAAGAGTAGAGGGAAACAGTGGGAGTTGTATAGATCATATGTTTATAAATTCACCTTTAGAACTTGAAAAAATATATTCAGCAATTCTAAAATACAAAATTTCTGATCATTTTCCTACTTTGCTCAAAATCGATCTTGAAAGTACATCAACCAAAATTGAAAAGACATCAGCTCATTATTAATTACATTGATTATGAAAAACTAAATAACAACTTACGCAATGAAAATTGGATTGTACAGTATATTCAGATAAGAGATAGACCGGACATAAACAAGACCACGTGATCATCGAACGCTGTAACATTCGGCAGGGACGTATTAAGAGTCACGCAGTACATAGTTTAGATAGTAGATGCTGCTTTGCGTAACTTTGTAGTAAATTAGCACAATTCGATGTATATACGATTGGTGATGGATATAGGATCATGTGGGGGTGGGGTAAGAAATATATAATGATGTAAATATACATAAGGGTTTCAAAATTTTCGCTTCGATTTCCAGCTTCGGATGCCGCCTGATGTTTGGTGAAATACAGTCGAATATAATCTAAAAATGGCGTTTAAATTAGCCTAAATTACAAATAATCGTATATCTCTTAAAATTGCTTTTAGAATATTGATTAGTATATTTTTTGATTTCTAGGTAAATATGTAACCAAATTAAAACGTTCAAAACGTAAAAAAATGTGCATGGTTGAACATTGTCAGAAAGTAGATTCTTGAATAGGTTTTGCCAAAATGGGTTCAAAAATGTCAATAATTAATTAAAAAATACAGTAGCTTTATAAGTATTTATAACTTACCGAATTTGATGAAAGACATCTTTTATTGGAAAGATGAGCTTGATGAGCTTTCATCATCGCTACTGCCTGAAGCACCAACGTCAATAATGAATGGCTCGACTTGTTCCTCTAAAATATTGTCCAGTTCCCACATTCTCTTTTCAACTTTGTCTTTCACGTGCTTAATACAGTTTTCCCATTTTCGCGCTGTTATTAATTCTAGTGCTTCTTTGAAAAGTCCTTTGAGGTCACAAAATTTAAAAGTTGTATTGTGCTTAGCTATATAATTTTTAACCTCTGCGCATATGAGCTCAATGGGATTGAGCTCGCAATGGTATGGAGGTAAACGGAGCACAGTTTTATTTTGACTTGCTGCCATTTCGTCAATGGCGTATTTTTGATATTCATCCTTGTGATCCTTGACAATTCTTAATAATTGTACTTTCAGCATTGCTTCTTCAAAGTTGATATTTTTCGAGCGGAGCCAATTTTGAACATCAACTTTCCTTGAAGCCGTTGTTGGGACCTTCTCCATTCTTCGAGAATGATAAGGCGCATTATCCAACACAATTACTGCTTTTTCCTCTAAGTTAGGTAAAATTTTTGAAAACCACTGTTCAATCGATTCGCCATTCATTTCCTCGAGGGAAATCTCCAGTTTTCTTAGACTCAAAGCACCACAGACCGTCAACAACAAATCCATCCTCACTGCCAATATGGCAGATAATGAGCCTTTTCCCTTTACCTGGAAATCGAAGTACTAACTGGTGTAGATTTATTTCAATAAGCGAACCTTTTTCAAATGTTTTCATCACATTCAGCGAAAAAACATTGAGACATGAGTATCAGATTGCTATAATTGGGATTATTTAGTCATATTGAAAGAAAGAATATTGAACGTCGTATGATTACTCAGCGCTTCACAATTTAATTTAAAGTTATAAACCTTTAAAAAATGAATGATCAGGAACCTGAAATACGCGCAAATATTAATATTAACAAATTATAACTTTATAAAGCTTAAAGTATGAATTAAAATGATTAGAAATATTAGGAACGGTACACAATATAAAACTTAGTAACTTTTTTTAAGTTTATAATATTCGACATATTTTAAGATTATATTAAAAAATTATTGAAATATCAAAAACACATAAAAACATGGCTTAAAAAAGTTCTAACAAATGAAAATGACAATAAAACATCCACGCATTTTATCGAAAGTTATAAAGGTTTTGTTACTTGTAATATGTTTTATCTGCCCCCTGGAATTAATGTTTAGAACCTTGTTCCCAAGGTTTGAAAAACATCGGATTGTTGTATTTACCTGCTGGATTTTTTAATCCGGTGGACAGTCCATCTAGAAAGGCCCTCCTGGATGAAGTTACAGAATCATCAACCCATACTTTACTTGTAGTGTGTCCTGCGTTTACCCACGTTTCATCAATCCTGTTTTGATTTCTATATTTCCCAATTTTTGTTAAATAATCCCTCCTCCATAGCACAATTTCTTCTCTATCCAGTAGTAAACTATTACGACCCCGTTTTTTCCATTTGAAATTTAAATGCTTCAGTAACGCATGGAAAGTTGATCGTTTGAAATTTGGCAACGTTGTATCTCCATTTACCTCCTGCAGTACTTTATCTATAGTAGGTATTTCATTCCTAAAGAAGAATTCATGCACTTTCCTCCTAATCGCATGCTTATCAGCTTCATCCAATGATTTAACAATACTTTTGCGAAAGAAAAGGTGTGATTTTTTTTGTATTGTCTTAACACATTAAACACTGATGCGCGACACACCCCAACTTTGTGAGAAACCTTCACAACAATTTATTTGATGGTTGATGCCTCGTTCTCCTCGCGCTCGATCTTATATATATTCAAAATGACCTCTTTCATTTCTGCACTCAGGTGTCTTTTTTTAGAGCGTTTCCTAGGTGGACTACAGGAGTTTACAACTTCATCGGCAGTATCTGTACTACTGGGCATTTTGCGCAAGCAGTTGATAACAATAACAATCAATAAAAAGGTATAACAATAACAACTTAATAAGATAACAAACGAAAACGTCCAAAGAAATATCAAATTGCAATGATGCACACGACATACGTTACACGTCTGAACCTGAATGTGACTCTGCCTTGATACGACTGCTCTGCCGCTCGGCATAGGCATTTAATTGCGAATTGACCAATGAGGGCTCCTGTTTTACGTCGAGACGGCGGCGTTAGCGTGAAAATCACCCGAACCTTTTGTTTACATCCGGTCTATCTCTTATCTGAATATACTGTAGTATATAACGAACCTAATACTGAAAATGCATTTGTCCTTTTTATATGTAGCATTGAAGGCCATATTGCTGAATGCACCAAAACAGTAAAGATTCCACGAACACAAATAAAAAGACAAGCATGGATATCAAAGGGGATTATTACCTCCATCAACAAAAAAATAGAATTATATAAGGAAACCAAAAAATATCCTTATGATGTTAAACTTTTGAATGAATTTAAATCATATCGAAACAGACTGACGAAAATAATTAAAGAGGCTAAAATTAAATATCTCCAAGAAGAGTTTGATAATCTACAAAATTGTTCGTCAAAAATGTGGCAATTTATCAATAAAATACAAGGCAAAAAACGAAAAAAAATTAGTACAATTAAAAAAGAAAATGGTGAACTAGTGAGTAATGATGTAGATATAGCAAATGAATTTTGTGAATATTTTTCAAAAATCGGGAAAAGGTTGTCAGAAAACATAAAAAACGCGGATAAATTAAATTATAGTAAGACCAGATTATATAACTCATTATATCTGGAACCGACCGATACGCATGAAATAAAGACAATAATCAATGAATTGAAATTAAGAAAATCTCCAGGTCTAGATAATATAACAGCATATACTCTCAAGAGAATAAATTCCAACATCTGCGGCATACTGTCATATTTGATAAATTCTTGTATGAATAAAGGAATATTCCCTTCATGCTTAAAACACGCTATGGTAAAACCATTATTTAAATCTGGAGAAAGAGAAAAACCCATCAACTATCGACCAATTTCCATCTTAACAAATTTTTCTAAAATATTTGAAAAAGTGTTAAAAAAACGATTCACCGAATTTGCAAAAATGCATGTGTTTTTGTTGACTTGACAAAGGCATTCGGCTCTATTACTCATGAATCGCTTTTAACAACTTTAGAAAACTTAGGTTTCCGGGGAATAACATACAAACTTATAGAAAATTATTTGTCAAATCGAACACAGTGCGTCAAAATTAATAACACATTCAGTGAACGCCATATTATATCATACGGTGTACCTCAAGGCTCAGTATTAGGACCCATTTTATTTAATCTATTTATCAACGATTTGTTCAAAATAAGTAGTACAGGTAAAGTTCTCGGTTTTGCGGATGATACAGCTATTTTCTATGAAAGCAACCAGTGGCATACACTAAAAACCACAATCGAACATGATTTCAAAACATTTATAAATTTCTTTTCGGAAAGAACTTTGACAATTAATCACAACAAAACACACTATATAGCATTTTCTTGTAACGACAGGCTCTCACCACAATTTAAAAAAGTTGAAGTTCATACAAGCAGTGGTCTTAAAGAGATTCAGTCAGCCGATAAAATAAAATACTTAGGCGTGATTTTGGACAAACACTTAAAATGGGATACCCATACAGAGTACCTTGTGAAGAGACTGAGATGTATTATTCCAAAATTCAGGTACTTCAGAGATATTCTAGATAAGAAATATCTATATAATCTATATTATGCTCTTGTTTATCCTCTATTACTTTACGGAATTTTGGCTTGGGGGGGAGTTATGAATAATAATTACAAAAAGGTTGATGTAATCCAAAAATTAATTCTAAAATTGATCCTCCATAGGGAGATTACTTATTCAAGTGATTTTCTATATGTGGAGGCTCAGCTATTAGATTGCAGGCAAATTTATTTTTATTGTGGTCTAATACATTATTTCAAATATTCAAAATACTTTAATCGTACCATTCATAACTACCCAACAAGATTCAATCAAAATTCAATGTGTATTCCACAATCATCAAAAACCATTACACAACGATCTCTTTTTTTCTTGGGACCAAAATTCTATAACTTCATACCAGAGTCACTAAAAGTAATTAAATCAATTAAATCATTTAAAAAAGAACTAAAAAAATGGATTTTACAACAACCAAGGTACTCCATCCACGAAATTGTAGATCTGAAAAATCATTATCAAAATCAATAATATTTTACTTACACTAACATCCATACTTTTACTTTAGTTCTAATGGTCTGGATATTTTTCCTGACATTACCGTAATAATTCACCAAATTATACAGTATTAACGGGTTTTTTTTTCATACACTGACTGTACTATTAGTTTTTATTTTGTACAAACCCAAACACAAGTGCAAACTTTTTTTGGGTGCTTTATGTTTATTGTGCACAATATTTGATATTTACCTGTATTTTGTGACAATAAACATTTTTATTATTATTATTAATATTATTATTATTATTATTATTATTATTATTAGTATTATTATATCACTACTTCACCACAATCACAGCCGACAAATAAATAATGTTTGTCGCCGCTACTGGTTCTGACCTAAAACCATCAAGCACATGACATGTGGGAGCGTAACGAACATTGCTTCCAACGTTGTAACGTCTTTTGACGCGGGTCAAATTTTCCGACAAGAGCCCGAACGTGCCATGTGGCGAACGTTGGACACATGCAATCCGTCAGCGCTCTCCAACGAATTCGGACTAGGTTAAAAGAAGCCAAGCCCATATGATGTTAAACGATTGTTTGTTAGCAACATCAACAGATTGTTTACACAAAATTTGACCTTGAACGAAAATTGTATACTTTTCCCCGAGTAGACATCTGCTTTTATCGCGCTTAAACTGCTTTTTACATAACATGCAACACTTCACCATTCTCGAGAATAGTCCAAAACGCTAAATATTCCACTGAAATGTTTAAAACAAAACTGTGAAAATATCACGGAAAACACACGTAAACATGATATCATGAGCAAAATAAAGCTTCCCCTCGATTGTCAATTGCACAAAGTCGCAGCATAAAACACCAGAAATAAGCCCAGCTGTTCTCAGCGTTTCCACGTACGCAAATATTAGTTTTTCAGGAAATATCACTAGGATATAACAATACATATTCCTTAATTGTCTTCGGTGCTTATTTCAGATGTATTTTGAAATGGTGAGTAGGAAATGAGAATAAGAATAGCTCAAAGCGTTTTGAGAAATCGCTGTGATGTTTTTTTTGGAAAATTATTTATTTTAATTTTTGCGAGTTCCGTGAAGTTGGTAGGTTTTGAAGCTATGATAACACTGCGTCAGTTAGTGGAAACATTATAATATGAAATATATTAGGGTACTGAAACCAAAGACTTTCTTTTCGGTGCAGGTGTTACAAACAATTTATAACTGTACATACACATGAGTTGTTCTATTTGAAAATACAACATATTGGAGACAAATTAATACTCTTCATTTAGTTATCACCACGTATAACATTTTACGATTATTTTTGCACTGCTCAGTGCGATCATCAATCGATTGCGTGAAGGCAGTTGTTAATTTTGAACAAGATGTGGCAACACCGCAGAAAACTGGTAGCCACTCAAGTTTGTGTATCGCTCTAGATGTCTAATGATTGATAAAAACAAATCCTTTGTTTACGTCTTCTACCCGTATTGCGTATTCGCATTCGTTGGCGATCTCCCACACGATGTGGCGAATTGCCATATGTCCAACGCTGTAAGGCATTCGCCACATCGTGTGGGAGTGGTTTAACCACAACCCTTATTTTGTCATCTTCACATCTTCTAAAATGTCATCGACATTTCGGTTGTCACTTGTGACATTCTCACTTTTTGACAAATAGTAAAATATACAGGATGGTTGATGAAGGTACACGACAGACTTTAAGTAAAATACCTTTGTTAAAAACAAAGGCAGGTCCCAGAGATAAAGAATTATGGGTACAAAGGCTTAAAGAAGAATACCAGTCGTTAATAAAGGTAATCTCTTTGATACCCAATGCACACATCCATGTAACATGACAAACATATGTTTATGTGTAATTGCAGTATGTTCAAAACAATAAAGAAGCTGATAACGATTGGTTCAGATTAGAATCTAACAAGGAAGGCACAAAATGGTTTGGAAAATGCTGGTATATCCACGATTTGCTCAAATATGAATTTGATGTGGAATTTGATGTAAGTCTTACAACACCCTCATACTGAACCATTTTAGGTTATTTTTGGTTTATAAGCTGCCTAAAGCCTGCTGCTAAATTGTGATTTCATGAAAGAACATATGAGCCGTATAAATGCAAACCCCGCCAAGTGCATACCATACAGTTCCAAGAAAAACGCGGAAAACTTTTGTATTACAACAAAGAGAGCATTAGCACTGTCAAACAAGAATAATGAAATGCAGTTGGTGGGGTTTGAAAATGAATATGAAAAATGGTGATGATCAGAATGCCAGGAATGGCACGAAACCCTGTGAATCACAACACATGGTCACAAGACTAAAATACGTCTTTCATATTGGTCACACGCACTTGGCAGTTTTTGCAAATAAACAAATCTGCAATTGGCGATGTATTGAAAATGAACTGAGCTTTTGATGCTTGATAGTAATGTAAGTGCTGGGTTTTGAGAAATAATATCTTGACAGAATGCATTTGTCAGGGTTTGCAGTTAGACACCTCATATCTTCCTACTATTGATTCCATTTAGAATCATACTACCTTCATTCAAAAATTCTTTATTTACATTTCTGAGGTTAATCATATTTATTACATGTTTACAGATTCCAGTGACCTACCCCACAACTGCTCCAGAAATAGCACTGCCAGAGCTTGATGGAAAAACAGCAAAGATGTATCGGGGCGGGAAGATTTGCCTGAGTGACCATTTTAAACCTTTATGGGCCAGGAATGTCCCTAAGTTTGGAATTAGTCATGCTATGGCTCTAGGGGTAATGTTTGTTACTTTATTAATCTGAAAAGTATACAAGTATACATTTTATTAATTCCTTCAACAAGTGGTTTTTTGCATGGGAACAATAATCATGATAACCTTTTATCTTCTCTGTATAATTAGCAATGCATATTTTATTAATGACAATACACATTTTCTTTCACACTATTATCAGTCCTGACATACTTCAATCAACAATGACTGTGACACAAATATTTAAATATAACAACCTATGTTTACACACATTTTTCTTGCATGTCAATAAATGCCAGTTACCAAGTGTACAACAATTTTATTTGCAGCTGGGTCCATGGTTAGCAGTAGAAATTCCTGACCTTATAGCAAAAGGAGTGATATCATACAAAGAAAAAACTGGATGACTGTTGGTGCTAAAATTAATATTACAAGGATAGAAAATATTAAAATATTTTTTGTAACTGAACATTGATGAAATGACCCATTGAATGGGAAATATTAATGTTGATATTATGGATGTTTATGGTGAGGCATGCTTTGTTTTCATTTATCTTAGATTATGACTGTTCATACAGTTAAGTAACAACTTAATGGCTGAATCACATTAAATAGGATTGATAAGTCAAATGAAGTGTGTCTAGCCAAAAATTAGTTATCAAAGTTTATATTTTTGCCATGTTCACTTAGATCTTTGTTCACTGAACTTTTTATAATAATATCTTTTACAGAATGTGTGATTTTTGATCTTAACCAGAATCATGATTCTCTGTTTGGAAACATTGTGAGTTCTAGAGGAGGAAATAAAAAATGGAGTCTGGTGTCCATCCCATTTGGAGTGGCCATTAATATCCTTCAAACCCACTGCTTGAAATTTGTCGGTCTCAGTGATAAAGAAAAATGAACACTGAATAAAAAGGTTTATCAAATAAAATTTTATATACAGTAAGAGGAAGAGGAAGCTCTGATTAAATTTTGGAAACATTTTGCTGGATATGCTGAATAATGTGTTGGCCCATCTCAACTCCATACACCTCCTTGCTGAACTTGCTTCTAAAGAGCTGCTAGGGTTTGTGGAAACTGTTCCACACATGTTCAACAAGTGAAAGGTCTGGAAATCTAAGAGGCCAAGGAAGTCGGTTGACTTGAGAGTTATTAAAGAAGGCCATTGTAGCAATATGGGGATGGGCAAAATAAGATTCCAGTTTTTGTGGTATATTTCTTTCCGCTGTAATAATTTGCCTAATGATAATTACAGGTGACTTAGTACAATATGTAATGATGGGGCACCAACCCTTAACTTCTACATGATGTTCAACTGGAAACTTTACATTACGTCTTTCTCCGCGCCGCCTTCTGATTCGTGCTTACTTGTCTTGCATTCCTAAACAAAACTGAGACCTTGTGATGTCTTGGTTGTATTTAGGAATGCTTCATGGACGGCCACGAATCGGAAGGCGTCATGCAGAGAGAGGTACCTTCTGACATTTCTTCAAACTCTTGGGAATCCCGTTCTCGAACAGGATAATGTCTGCCCCCATATCACCAGAGACTCAGTGGACTATTTCAATGGCTCAAATTTGACTCCTTCCTTGTCCCTCAGTTCTCCATACCATTCATCCATTAAACATATGTGGAACAGGATAGGGAGAAGAGAGACCTCTGTACCTCATCCTTCACAAGTTCAGAGCCAGGATACAGCCAGCTAAGCATGAGGTGTCTCTAGATGTCGTAAATTGACTCCTCAGAAGCATATCCGACGACTGGACGAATGTCCAACACATAAGGGAAATCCAGCAGTACATCAAATATTTTCAGTTCTAAATTTAATCACGACTTCCACTTATAAAATTGCATTCAAATAATTTTTTTTTATAAATTTTATAATTTTTTTTATTGGGTCTTGCCACTCGCGTCTTGCATAAGGCGTCTACACCTTATGATTGCAATGTATTCCGAGCTCTCAAGGTCATGGAAGTGCAACAAAAAAATTCAGCCCAAGTTTCATGGAGTTGCACTGCTACATTATACTAGATATGGTCAGACTCCACAACTCACCGATTCTTCCCATGACTATGAAACTTGTATAAAGATATCTTAGTTATTGCTTTTTGAAAAGGGTTGATTGCACAAAGAGTTTTGTCTCGCTGAAAAATATTTTTAGAATGGTTGTCCTTATTTATCCATAATTTCTACGTTATATAAATATCCTTCAGTTAGTTCAGATCATAACAAAAAAGTATCGACAAGGAACGTGAAATGAAAACATACTTAAATAAGTTGCGATTCATTCGACAGTAACGTCAAAGCTACAATAAATTAAATAATACATAGATAATGTACAAAAAATAACAACATAATCAAACATTAAAGAGAAATGAATAAATAACACATATTTAAAAAATTATCAATTCACAAGTCTGATGATAAGCATTCTTCAGCGCTGTAAAAAGACTTGTAATGGAGTTAGAAAATGTTCAAATTGGTAACAGCTCTGACAACTATTGGAAACTTGTTGAACCATCTGATATGCATCATGAGGAGGCCCTTTGTTGATAAAGCGAGGCTATGTTGTGGGGTAAGCAGACGGTGCGGATTCCTCAGATTGTAACCACTCCTCATTTCTTCGCGACTCATATTTTGCAAAAGTTTTTTCGAACATAACATAAGCAATTAAACATATAAAGAGAGTATGTGGTCATGATGTGGAGAGTTTTGAATAGTCCTTGAAAAGATGTGAGCTAATTACTAAAAGTTCTTGTATAAAGTTTTCCGTACCCAGTGCGTTGTTTTCGAATACAACCGACACCAATTCCTTTTTCAACAGATCAATATATTTGTCTTTTCCTAAAGTTCTTCAAAGGCTTCATTCGGTAATTATTACAAATACTCCATATCCGTGTCTTTATCTTCAAACACTAGAAAGCATTTTTTTGTACATAGTAGATATTTTGGGTTTGTCTAAGAAAACCACGTCTTTTTTTCTCTCGTAGCAGCTTTGGTGGAACACTTTACTACAATTAATTACAATGATTGGTCCCTTTTCCACTTGAATTTCGACACAGTAATGTAACCTACGATTTCCACACGATAATGTCTATCAAAAACAAGTTATTTACTTCAAAGATGCCACTTGGCTTGAATTTTGAGATGGATTATTTCCACAAAGAAATATCTATTTTATGTGTAACGAGTTTTGCACAGGACTATTTACTAAGGGGGACCACACACAAAGTCACTAATGTTTGACTGATTCTCGTAGCTGTGGGTCCTCTTTTGCCTTCATCATCCAGCAACGCATCCAAATATTCAGTTTCTTTAAATATCAGGGGTTAACCTTGTTTTCGTCATCCGAAAATCTAGGACATCTACAGTACTAAGAGAAGCCGTTTCAACGTCAACAATAAAACATAGAAAGCTGTAAATGAAATAAATGATGGATAGGAGGGATTCTCCTTTATGGATCATTTACGTCCGTTGGCTCCCGGCATCCGGTTGCATCCTGTACCTAATGGCACCCGCTTGTTCGAGTCTGAGAAGACCCTGATTTGCATGTAGCGAATTGGTCTAGAAACAATGTAATATATTAAACTGATGAACAGGGGTTAATTTTTTACTGTAATCATCATCGTCTCTCTTACTACCACTAGCAATACTACATTCAGTGGCGCAGCTAAGCCCGTTGGGGCTTATAAGAAAACTTTTTGGACTTTCAGTGCGACCTAGGGACCGTTGTTGCATGTATTAGGTGGTCCTTCGTTCTAGCTGCGGGGGTCCCTTAAAGACACGAATCTACAGAAAGTAGTAGTAACCAGTTGAAAAACAAAAAGGCTTGGCATACATCCATACCAGGGTGTTTCATTCTGAGCCCGCGAGTCCTCATAAACTTGCCCATAATACCTATTGAAGAGCAACAAATATTCAGAAGGAACTTTCTAAAACCGCCAGATCCTTTTCAGCCTACGGTGTAAGTGATTCTGTAAATGGATCTACATTGCGTTGCTTTGTGTAGAAAGCAAGGATTATTCAGCTTAGTATAATCGGTGACGTATCTGGCGGTATAGGTAGTATAAAAGAGTAAACAAATGTGGAAGGACCACCTGACAAAAATACGCTATCATCTGGGCATTATTTTCTCTGGCTCTCTAATAATACAAAAATGTTTTCGATATCTGGCATCGTGACAAAATTTTTTTGACGCGTCCTTCTTTCCCATGCATTTCCTTATAGCGCCACGGAGCCCCAGGTATTTAGGTCTTAGACTTGCGTGGTGGCTCAAGTATTCAAAAATATACAAATTGACAAATAAAATACCAGTCGTCTTAAAAGGATCACCCTTCGAATTAATATCCCATGTTTTGGAAACGTTCTGTAGGTGTATAACATTTTTTAATGTCAACGTACTTTTAATAGGCACAACAAACCACTACTTGTTACGTTTACAGTAACAGAAACTTCAAAACGCGTGAAGCGAAGTCCAAAGTTTGTCTTTAACCCTTAAGTCCAGCGGATCTTCACGTCGATATATAGTTTTTTTATGCATATTGAAGCGGTAAAAATCTCCCCTTTTTAAACCGATACTCTACAAGCAGCTCTATGTACGTCCATGTTCTTCAGAACGGCCCCCCTGTACGGGAAACCCGTCCCACGGTCAGCATAGGGCGCCACGACGTCTCGCCTATCCGGCGGCTCCCGTTCCGCTGGGCGTCCTGCTTCGGGCGGCCCGTCGGCGTCGGAGGATATGTCGCAATAGACGCGGTACACAGTTTTTGTTTTCCCGCAGCTGTAACTTCACTAATGGTTGCAGCGGAGACGCTTCCGCTCAAGAACAACCGAAATAACCCAAGAGCAACATTTAAGCCTAGTGTTATACTGGATGCTGAAGGCTAGGCAAGGCAAAACTAATACTAGTTACTAGATCTAGCAATGCCAATACGGATTTATATTTCTAGGGCGTTAAGCTAGCGGTTACGTACTCAGAGTGAAATTAGAGCTCGATATACCAAAAGACCAAAAGCGCTTATTACACTCACAAAATTTTATCCACGAGTGGGTAAAATAAAAATCGTGGATGCTTTCAAGTACAATTAAAAATAAAAGTAAATTGACCGAACTATTGTCACTGTTTGTTAACCTGCTGCCTAGCAGCGAAGGAATAAGGACAGATCTTATAACCGCCTTACGGTTTCCAACATAACCCACTCGTAGCGCGGGCGTCAAAGTTACTTGTCCGCCCTATGATATAAAAGAGTTCGTGGGCTGAAAATTGGGACACTTATCGTCCGAAAGACCTGTTCTTATAAAGTACACTTTTCTGTCCAATTTTCGAAAAAAAAATTAAGGGTACTTTATGAATAGGTGTTTTGAGCATTAAGTTGTATTCTTTATCCTATGGGTTTTTTGTGCCCTAGGGCAACAGTGACAAGCGCAACGAGAACTATTAGCATTTAGTTATTTCTAAGTCGAGACTTCCACCCCCGGCCATTTTTATTTATATATTATTATTATATTATTATTATATATTTTTTACATATACTGTAGTCTACGGATATCTTCAAGTCCTAGGGCCATAAAGTGTTACGAGAACGATTCGTATTTATTTGTTGCTAGGCAGCGACTTCAACTACCAGTACCCGAACAATATAGTATGATTGTTTTATTTATTTTGATGTCCAATCAAAAAGTAAACTATTTTTTATTCATACGGTAGCCAGTCGCAGATAAAAATTTTTGTATTGCAACGAAAACACCGTTTCTACTGTCCAAAGTGTAATTTATTACTTTTACACTTATTTATGACAATTTATAACCATGTTGACTAGACTACAGCTACCGCTGACGACTTCTCGACTGTCTGGACGGTGGCTAACTCCTTACTCCG